AATCATAGCTATAGTAAGGCATAAAAACGTCAAAACACGTCATAGTATAGTAAGCATAAAAACATCATAGTATAGAAGCATAAAAACGTCACACGTATAGTAAGGCATAAAAACTTCAAAAAACGTCATATATAGTAAGCAGAAAAAACGTCACATATAGTAAGCATAAAAACATAAAAAAAAACATCATCAGTTATAGTAAGGCATTAAAAAATGTCATAGTATAGTAAGGCATAGAAAACGTCAAAAAACTCATAGTATAGTAAGCATAAAAATGTCATAGTATAGTAAGGCATAAAAACGTCATTTAGTATAGTAAGCATAAAAACAGTAAAAAACGTCATGAGTATAGTCAAGGCCGATAAAAACGTCACAGTAAGTAAGGCATAAAAACTTTCAAAAAACGTCATAGTAGTAAGGATAAAGAGCATATAAGGCAAATAAAAACGTCACAGTATAGTAAGGCATAAAAATGTTTTTATGCCTTACTATACTGTGACGTTTTTATGCCTTACTATACTATGACATTTTTATGCCTTACTATACTGTGACGTTTTTTTTATGTTTTTATGCCTTACTATACTGTGACGTTTTTTGACATTTTTATGCCTTATTATACTATGACATTTTTTGACGTTTTTATGCCTTACTATACTGTGATGTTTTTTTTATGATTTTATGCCTTACTATACTATGATGTTTTTATGCCTTACTATACTGTGATGTTTTTTTACGTGTCTATGCCTTACTATACTATGACGTTTTTATGCCTTACTATACTGTGATGTTTTTTTACGTTTTTATGCCTTACTATACTATGACGTTTTTTGACATTTTTATGCCTTATTATACTATGACATTTTTTGATGTTTTTATGCCTTACTATACTATGATGTTTTTTATGTTTTTATGCCTTACTATAATGTGACGTTTTTATGCCTTACTATACTGTGACGTTTTTATGCCTTACTATAATGTGACGTTTTTATGCCTTACTATACTATGACGTTTTTTGACATTTTTATGCCTTACTATACTGTGATGTTTTTTTATGTTTTTATGCCTCATTATACTATAATGTTTTTTGACGTTTTTATGCCTTACTATACTATGACGTTTTTTTAAGTCTTTACACCTTACTATACTATTACATCTTCTGACGTTTTCATGCTTTTTTTTTTTTTTAAGTTATTTTTTTGGTCTTATTGTGCCTTTAATGCACAGGACAGTAGAGAGACAGGAGATGGGGAGGCAGAGAGACTGTGATGTTTTTATGCCTTACTATACTACGACATTTTATGATGTTTTTAGGCCTTATTATACTATGACGTTTTATGACCTTTTTACATCTTACTATACTTTGACGTGTTTTGACATTTTTAGGCCTTACTATACTATATTGTTTTAACGCTTTACTATACTATGAAATTCTATGTCATTTTTTGATGCTTTCATGCCTTCCTATGTCATTTTATTGCGTTTTTACGCATTACTATATTATGACTTGTTTGATGAAATGTTTTTATGCCCTACAATACTGTAAAGCAGTACAATTTTTCCCAAGTGTTAAATACTTTATCATTGTAATATTCTAAGTTGTTAAATAATGGTCAGACAAAAGAAGTTACTTTATTCAGGGAGTCATAAAAACTTTCAATCATACAAACATGAGCTCTACCCACATTCAGTCCTTCATACCTTCAGGCAAACCTACATACAAACCATCCATTCCTTCATTTATTGATTAATTTATACATGCATCCAGATCCACATATATACATACCTTCAAACACATATGTACATACATATGTACTGTTTGTCACAATATGAGAAACATATAAACTGTTCAAAGATCCATGTTCCACTACATGACACCAAAGTCGCCCCATCTTTTCATAAGATCATAAACTTTGTGTGTGTCATAGTTTTCCAACCACAGCTACAAACAGGAAAAGGTAAAACAAAATCAAACAAAACAAGAAATGGATTCCAAAAACACAAGGATAATAAAATAATGTTAAAAGTAGATGAAAACAACAAATCACAGTAAATATTCACAAAGTCTTTCCTTTAAATAATACTTACATTTTGTTGGTTTTTTTCATTACAGAATGGTTTGAATCATGACCAGAAGAATTCTACATCCAGTGACAGCAGCTTTACTGAGTGAGCACCAACTACCTGTCCGACATGTGGTGGCATCACCTGAGCAGGTCTCAGTGATCCAGGACCCTCTGGACCTGGACCTCCTCTCCGACTGAGACGGGGCGCCTTCATCTGAGACTATGACAGGGGGGTGGGGGTGGGGGAGGGGTTCTGTGAGAGGTCCAGCTCAGGACAGATCTCAGCTGAATGTCCAGGGGCCCCCGCCTCAGACAGTGAGTGTTAGAGCTTCAGCTGCTCGGCATGTACACAGTGTTATGAAGTTATCAGCTGAGCAGCGGTGGGGGGGGGGGTACGTCTTCATCGTCCTCATCCTCCTGCAGCGTCTGATCTCACACAGAGAGGAAACAGAGCAGGTCTGCTGGGAAACACAGAGAGATCAGAGCAGAGAAGAGGCTGGGCAATCAGTCACCTGCTGTGGGGTTCAGTTCAGTTTCCTGACTACTCAGATTTTATCCCTCAAGACAGAGAAGAATCTGTGTGTGAGTGTGTGTGTGTGTGTGTGTGTGTGTGAGTGTGTGAGTGTGTGTGAGTGTGTGTGTGTGTGTGTGTGTGTGTGTGTGTGTGTATAAAGCGAAACATTCAACACGACCGTCTCTGTGAATTAATTACTTGTATATATATATATACAAATATATACATACATATATATATATATATATATGTGTGTGAATATACAGTGTTTTAATCAGCTGATCTTCTCTTCTGTATTTTAAACACTTGATGTTCTTGTTCAGGTTCCTCTGTGTTCTGTTTGTTCTCATGTTGATTTAAATCTATAGAAAAAAAATCAAAAAAATGTACACCTTCAACTGAATGTTTCTTTTCCTGAAGTCACGCCTCCATCCAAAAAATATTTATTTCTTCAAAGTTCACGGCCTGAAGAGATATTTCAGGAAATTCAGGGTTTCAACAGTTTCACAAAATGAATTGAATAAACTTAGAAAAAGAAAAAAAAAGAAAAAACTAAAATGCAATGAATGTATTAATCACCACTAATTTACATTAGACGCATAAAGTACGTGTATTTGATCTTTAGTGATGTTTCTGTCTTCAGAGTCTTCAGCAGGAGTTTCCTCTTCATGGTCGAATGGAAACTCAACAACTGTTTAGGATTTTTTATTTATTTCACCTTTAATCACTGACAGTTTTATTTCCTCCTCATCATGAATCGTGTTTGACTCTCGTCTGTTTGGATCAGCTGATTGAAGCGGGCAGGCTGATCGACCTCTGACATCAGAGGGTCATTAATATTCATGAGCAGAGACACTGATCCATCAGCTGTTCTTTAACCCACGACCTGCGGGTCGTCAGACGTCTGTCGGAGACGTTTAGAGCTCATCAGGTTAACGAGGGACGACGTTCACAGAGATTCATGAGTCAGCAGGTGTAAACCGTTCACTCTCTCACTCTGAGTTTCTGACTGACAATCAGCCTGTATACGAGCCAGATTCAGGCCGTTGAACCTGGGAGGTATTATAAATACAATGATATAAATGTATATACTTTTACTACATGTGACTGTGTGTAAATACACCGAGATTTGAAGGTCACTGAGGTGTGTTCAGTTGTTAGTTGATGCTGATGTTTCTTTATGGTTTCTGGTGTCAGATCGTTATATATGTGTACCTGAGCCTGAGCCTGAGCCTGAGCCTGATCCTGAGCCTGATCCTGATCCTGATCGCTCTCCCTCTTTCAACAGAGACAGATGTGTTTCGGGGTTTCCTCCAGTAGGGGGAGCCATTTGTTCAGAAATGTGGTGATGATGTTTCCATGTTTTTAACTCTTTCTTTGATCTGTTCCAGCTAAAATGATTTCATTGTGTTTAGAACAAGAACAGTGACAGTGTCAGTAACTGAACGTGATCTCCTGATTCTTCACAGACTTGTCTGTTGTTGATTTGAAACTGTTGTTTTCTCAGTGAGTTCCTTCTGTTGACTTAACATATAGATTCAGTATCTCCCTTTTATTTTGTAAAGCTGCATTTGATGCATGAAGCATCATATAAAAATGAGGCGTAATTGTGTTGAACATAATAAACAATGTTTCTGTGGTGTTTATCATTAGTAGACTCAAGATCATTACCTCAGACAGCTCCAGGGTCCGGTGGTTCAGGGTCCGGTGGTTCAGGGTTGAAAGTACCAGTATTTCATATTTTTAATTTTATTTATTTATTTATTTTTTTTGTACTGGACATGTACCAACCAGTTATTTCTTTATTTAATTGTTTTATTATTATTATTTATTTACACGCACGTGTTCAGAACAGGCTACATTGTATATTGTTATTGCTTCTAATGTATCTCTTTTTATTTTAGATTGTTTCTATTCTTATGTCATTTTCCGTCGTGCTGCTGTGTCAAATTTCAATTTGCTACACAGGGATCAATGAAGGTTCATCTTCATCTTCCTCCTCATCTTCTTTTATAGCCCACTGTTTTATTTCTGACAGAAAATGTTTGTTCCAGTTTGAAAAGTAAGAAAACGGAACCTCTAGACTCGTCCTGGCAGCAGCTGCACATCTGTACAGATGTGTGTTTCATCTGTTCTCTAGAGTAAAAATAAAAGCTGCCATTTTCTTTATGTACTTGACTTTGTTTCCCAATGCACCACTTCAATAAAAGTTGTTTTATATTCAAACTAACACATGTACACATGATAAGGACACACTGTGTTTGGACCGCGGAGTGTTTTGCAGCAGCTCAGGAACCAGGTTCTGTTCTTGTTCCTCAGAGGGGCGGAACCACAGAGCACACGGGTCCAGTCTGAGGGGGAGGAGGAGGAGGAGGAAGAGTCCACACGGTCACCGAACGCCTTTGTGTCCGCAGACACCTCCGTGCTCTGCAGCGGGGAGACGCAGCAAAACTCCCCGCGACAGCAGGCGAGGAATCCCGGCGTCAGCAGCCGCCGCGCCCCGTTGGAGGAGCGGGGGATGGAGAATCCGGAGCCGAGGACATTAGTGAAGCAAGAGACGGATGTGGATGGTGTGTGAGGAGGAGGAGGGAAAACTTGGAGCAACAGAGAGAATAAAGGAGGAGTGGAGGGGCGTTTATTGTTCGGATCTCCAGACGCATAATCGAGTCCGACAGAACCCGGATCGATCTGATCCACCAGGAGTCCGGAACAAATGGAGGCCAGGGAGAGTAAGGAGTCAGGAGGCTCCTCCGGGGATCAGTGTTCACACCTCGGCGCAGCAGCTGCGGACATGCCGCCACAGATCAGCGCAGAAAACTGCTACAAGCTTCTGACAAAAGCCAAAAGCGAGGGCGCGGAGGGCGCGAAGCAGCGGCTCTACCGATACATGAGCGACCACTACCTGCACGTACTGCGGACTCCCGCCTTGTACGGCCGGCTGACAGCGGGGGAGAGAGAGCACATCCTGGCACGGAGGATGGAGGGGAGGAAGGTGCTGGCGGTGGCCGAGAGTAGCGAGGTGTGCGACCGCGCGGAGAGCCGGGACAATAGCCGGCCGCAGAGTCCGATGCTGCACGCCCCGGAGGACCACAACCACCGGCGGGTGTTCTGCCTCCACCCGGACACGCAGCAGTGGGAAGTCCTGACCAGCCTGCCGGAGGAGGTCCCGGCCAAAGGCTCCGGGATGTGCACCATGTACAACTACCTGTTCGTGGCGGGGGGGATCAGGGCGGAGGGGGACGGCCGCTCTAGGGCGTCGGATCGGGTCTTCTGCTACAACCCGCTGACCGGCCTCTGGAGCCAGGTCCGGCCGCTGACCCAGCCCCGCTGCCAGCTCCGACTGGTCTCCATGGACGGATACCTGTACGCCATCGGGGGGGAGTGTCTGTTCACGGTGGAGCGCTACGACCCGCGCGCGGACAGGTGGAGTCAGGTGGCGCCACTGCCCAGAGGCTCCTTCGCGGTGGCGCACGAGGCGACGTCTTGCGGCGGGGAGCTGTTCGTGTCCGGTGGCTCGCTCTTCTACCGGCTGCTGCGCTACGACTCCCGCCGCGACGAGTGGGAGGAGTGTCCGTTCAACGAGAGCCGGCGGCGGTCCACGGACATGGTGGCGCGCCGCGGCCTCGTGTATCGCTTCGACGTGGACCGGGAACGCGCGGGAGTGAACGTGTACAAGTACAACACGGTGGTGAAGGTGTGGCTCGGCAGCGAGAGCTTCCCGCTGCAGAACCCGCTGCCGTTCCGCTGTGCGGTGCTCGAGGACCGGATCTACTGCGTCAACCGGAGCCAGACGCTGCAGTTCCAGGTGCGGGAGCAGGGGGAGGGGTTCCTGCCGGACGTCCTGCCCCCCCCCGCAGAGGTCAGAGGAGCCCTAGTGCCCTTTGTCCTCTGTCTGAACCGGGACAAGTCTCCAGGACCAGGACCTGAACCCGGTCCAAAAAAGTGCTAACACGTGAACCTGCCTCCTCCTTCTTCTTCTTCTTCTTCTTCTTCTTCTTCTTCTTCTTCTTCTTCTTCTTCTTCAGCTGTGCCTTTTTCTTTTATTCCCGCTTTAACCGACGTTTAATGAAAGTTTGTTTCCACTTGTTGCTGCATGAAAACCAGATGTTTGTTTAGTCCAGCTGCAGCAGACATCTGGAGCAGAGACTGAACATCTGGAGCAGAGACTGTACAGGTGAGCATCTGGTCACTCCACCTGCCGGCTCCTCATCAAACAGCTAAAACAAACACACTCTGTTACCTGCATGTGAGGTCATCCTCTCCAGTGTGACATCATCAAAGTGTTTTTGGCTCCGCCCCCTGTCAGTCTGAGTCTCTTGAACACAAACAAACAGCAAACTGAATGTCGGACAAGGTCAAAGGTCAAAGGTCATGTTCTGATTGTTAAGCCTGAGATGAAATGACTCTTTGATCATCTTATAAAAAATAATAAAAAAGGCGGGAAAGTTGCTGCTTCCAGCTGCTTAAGATCTTGTGTCTTTACTTTTCATTGTGTCAGAAAACCTTTATTTTGACGAGGCGGAGCAGAGTGTTTCCACTTCCTGTGGCTGCAGAGAGTGTGTGTGTGTGTGTGTGTGTGTGTGTGTGTGTGTGATCATGGTGATGTAACCATGTGACATGTGACCCAGACACTGGAGCTCTGTCAGAGGAATCACATAGTGTTTTGTGTATGTGTGTTGACTCTTTATGATCTGAACAGAGACTCATTCATATTTTATCTGCAGTGTGACAGAGTTTAACTGAGAGCCAACACACACACACACACACACACACACTCTACAGTACACTATGTCTCAGTGTGTCACTGACCTGCTTCATCATTATCATCATCAGTTTATTATCGACTGTCTCTCTATCTTCCTCCTCATCAGGACCAAACTTTGTCTGTCCTGGAAACTTCCTGTTAATTACCAGTGAAACACAAAAAAGGAAATTACTACTATTTTCCAGGAAATTACGAGGAAAGTTTCCAGGAAATAAGCTGAAAAATAAAATGTTACCAAAATAAAGTGAATTACTTTTATAAAGTGGAACGATCATCATCTTTCAGTCCCTGGGAGAGCAGCAGAATGTCTCACCTGTCTCCTCTTCTGTGGGGTCAGGTGGGGGTGGTCAGGTGGGGTCAGGTGGGGGTGGGGGTGGTCCTCCAAACATCGACAGCAGCTGAAACTTTCTGCTGAAAAACCAAACAGCAACAATCCAGCAAAGATCCACTGGAACAAACCCTGACTCCTGACAGGAGCAGAGTGAGACCTCCCCCTGACATCAACAATCTCAGTGGGGGGCGCCACCTGCTGTTCACAACCACAATTACAGTGATGATGAAGTATTAATAAATAAAAACCTTTTGGTATTAAAACAAACTGCATTTTATTCTGAAGGGACGTGTTTACAGTGACAGGCTGATACATTCAAATTCAAGGTTATAAAAATAAAATCATGTCTGAGCAAAATATTACATTAACACAAACAGTTTAAAAAATAAAACGCAGAGGACAATAAGAAGAAAAGTTAGGAAAATAAAAGTCTGCAGATGTTTGAGGAGTCAGTGGAGGTTACACAGAGTTCAAACTTAAATCCAAAGATCAGCAGTTTTTAATCTGAAAATCCTCAGATGAAGTTAAAGAGCGAAAAGCTGCAGCAGAAAATCAAGTTCCAAATTTGGTTTTATTTTGAAGGTCTGAATACTACACTGAAGAAATGCTGTTAATGATTCCTAATGTAACAGCATGAAATATCATATCCACCTCTGTCCAGTGAAAACCTTGTATCTCCAAATGTTACAGTCTGAAGGATTATCTGTTTGACACTGTCTTACTGTTAATAAGACAAACATTGATGAAGACAGAGTCACAACAACCACAAAGAGATACAGGCATATTTCACATTTAAAAGCAGAAATCAAAGATAAAAGATTGTTTCTTATCCTTTATATCATCATCAATCAACCCCTGAGATTTTCCTCACTGACTGAAAACCGGAGCTACAACACAATATTACAAATGTCTCACAGACTTCAGTCAGGTTTGAACTCCCAGACCTGCAGACCTTGAGCTCAGGTCCAGTGAAGCTCCTGGTCCAGATGAACCCACCAAACGGCCTCACATGGTGAAAGACGAGCCGTTCTCGCTGGATCCGTCCACCGAGCGGCGACTGGAGACATAGACCTCGGAGGTGACCCTGGAGAAGCGACGTGGGGCGATATACCTCTTGCCCAGACACCACAGGTCCTGGAAGATCTTTCTGAAGTGGTTCCTGAACTTCACCCCGACGAAGGCGTACAGGACCGGGTTCAGGCAGCAGTGCAGGTAGGCGATGGTCTGCGTCACGGTTTTGGCCACCTCCACGCTGTCCGACGCCCCACACGACTGCAGCTGGAACATGGTGACGGTGTCGTAGAACAGCACCATGTTGTAGGGCAGGTGGCAGGCGATGAACACCACCACCACGGCCAGCACCACCCGCACCGCCTTGTGCCGCTGGAAGTTTCTGGCTCTCAGCAGCGTGACGATGACGGCGGTGTAGCAGGCGATCATGATGAACAGCGGCAAGAGGAAGCCCACGGACAGCTGGATGCCGGGGACGGCTATCTTGGTCGTCCAGGCCGTGTTGTTGTCCGTGAACCTAAACTCGCAGACGGAGTGTGGAGACCTGGAGGTCAGATTCTCCTCCTGGCCCTTGTACAGAAAGTCGTCCAAGATGTGGGTCAGATTCTGCTCCCGGCCCTCGAGCATGTGGATTTGCCCGATGTGGCTCGGCTCGTACCAGTTGTAGAAGTAGAAGGTGGGGATGGACAGCAGGAAGGCGACGGTCCATACGATGGCACAGATGATGCGGCTGTAGGGCAGCGAGCGCAGTCTGAAGCTGCGGCGGGCCTGGACGATGGCGATGTAGCGGTCGGTGCTGATGCAGGCGAGCAGCAGCATGCCGCTGTAAAGGTTCACACTGTAGGAGCCGCGCAGCAGCTTGCACGCCACCGGTCCCATCGACCAGGCAGACAGCTCATTGTAGACGATGAAAGGCAGCGTTGCCACGAACAGCAGGTCCGCAACGGCCACGTTGAGCAGGTAGACGTCAGTCATGGACTTGGTCCTCTTGTAGAAGGCGTAGGTGACGATCACCAGGCTGTTCCCCACCAAGCCCAGGATGCAGATGATGGAGTGGATGTACGGGCCAACCACCCGTTCCACGCTATTGTTGTTCTGGTAAGAACAAGGTGGAACCCAATCGTCACCATAGGTATAGTTATCATAGGTATAGTTACCATAGTCGTAATCTGATTGGTCGTCCTCTGGGTAGTTCATCTTCTTGTTGTTGTGCTGCGAAAGAATAAAAGAGAAAATCAGACAGAGAGGTGATGATCTCTTCAGTCCTGAAGGACAACTCAGCTGTTGAAGGTGTTTCTGTTCAGATGCAAAACATGAGGAGGGAAAGTAATTTAAACAAACAGCTGCTTCTCGTCTGAAACATCTGCAGCATTGACACTCGTCACGTTTCTTTTCAGATTTAGAACAAACAATAAAAGGAAAACAGACAAAAAGAAGGGATGAAAATGAGCCTGAAGGTGATAGAGACCAACTTCCATCTTTACGTTTTTTGAGGACGCCCGTTCCAACGGGAGAACTCCCGAGTCTCTACGACAACAGGAAGTGGTAGAAACTGACAGTTTCTCTTGAATAACTTTGGCAGGCGTGGTCACAGGGTCGTGATATTTGGTTTGGATGTGTGTCCTGATCCCCTGCACACATCCTGTATGTTTGAAGTGATTGTCTCCTTTCGTTCCAAAGTTAGAACTAAAAATGTGAGTACTACAGTATATTGTAGGAGAAGTGAAAAAGTTCATGAGTTGTAAGTAACTTTTAAGAGGGTTTCTATTAATAAAGTGTTCACTTCCTGTATGCTTTTATTTTGGTGCTCTTCGGGCGGAAGTAGCGGTACCCATCTTTGTAAATAAGTTTTCTTCGCGTCAGTTGTGAGTATACGGTAGACGGTACGGTCCCGAACTACAGCTCTTCTACAAAGGGATACCTTCAGATGTTTAAGCGCCTAGCTGGAGTTGGGAACAAGGTATTGTGTGTAAATAATGTGTTTAGGTGAAGCTATGTTTGCCTCCTTGTTTTATATTTACTGTGGAGAAATGTTTAATGCGTTACCATGCTAACATTAGCCTCTGTATGTGTATTGGGCCTCATGGTGGTGCTGTTGAGCTATAAAAGCCTTTTGAGTCCTCTTTATGTTTATTGCAAATGTTATGTGAAATTTTGGACTAATATACTCACTAATATACTCATATGTAAGGTCATAAGGAATACAGCTTATTTTATTTGTGTTGTAAGAGCTGATTTTATTAATTTATCTGTCCATCAGCTCTTACGGTGTAAAGGAACAAAGAAGTACGGAGAAATTTGTGTTCAAAAATAAGGATGATGGCCGAACATAAATAAAGGCTTCTAACATATCTGTACGCTTCACCATCATTCCAGCTGGGGTTCGCTATAAACGAGAGTCCACAGATTCTATGTTCAAAGTTTTGTGCAGATCGACTCGCAGCCTTCCTTTTCTCTCCCCTTTCCCTCCCTTTTCTCTTCTTTCTTCTTCATGTTATAATTATGAGCGTTCAAAAGCTGATGCTGTGTTTATGTGTGTAGTATTTTCATCATACATGAAAAACCTCAATGCTGTTGTATTATTCCGTCTCTCACACTTATTCTTATTTTTTCCTTCATTTTGTTTCTTCCTCTTTTTTTCACAATTCAGCTACTTTCAATGAGCACGTCCATGTAAGGTTTTTGAATGTGTGATGTTGTATGTCGGAGTTAGAGAATAAAACGCTTCCTAGGGAAGGCAGTGGTCCAAGCTGAAACCTCCCATAAAACCTCAACTTCTCACTTCCACTGTTGGACTGAGCAGATCCGGCATGTCGATCAGAAACCTCCACAGGAGGATTTAGTTCCTGTAGCAGCTTCCAGTCTTTACACTACAGCCCCAGGTTCACTGTACAGACATAAAACATCTACAGGGTCCACACATCAAAGTCCTGGTCTCAATCCAGCAGAGGTCCAACATCAGGTCCTGTTGTTAGACCTCTAAAAACTTCGATTACAAACCTTTGAGGACGTCTGGGAGCAAAGTCTAGAGTCCTGACGGGTGTCTGGGTGTAATGATCTCAGGTTTACAACTGGTCAAACTGGTTTACAGCCTGAGAGACGCAGTAGCATTTAAAGGCACAGAGAAATAAACACACAAACAAATAATTATAAAAAATATTAAATATAAAACAGTTTGTCTGTGTCTCTGCTAAAAATATGTTTTATTATGAAAATCCCTCTCTTTCCTGTTCCTGTTAAAAAGTCAATGAATCTAAGAGATGACATTTAAAGTTTGAAAAGGAGAAGTCGACTTCAAACTTTAAATTTCATCCTGAATTTATGGGTTTAGATATAATTAGATTTAATGTAATGTGACATTTAAAGTGCGGAGAAGTGACGTGTGTGTGTGTGTGTGTGTGTGTGTGGTTTATGTCGATGTCATAAGGCAAATATGTTGTTTACATTTCTGAAAACCAGATTCAGGTCTAATCTTGTCCCTGGAGCCAAAACAGAGACTCAGACCTACTGAGGTCATAAAACACTAGAGTTTATATATTTATATATATATACATATACACACACACATATATAGCTCATCCAATTGTCAGTGGATTCGAAATTCACTCCTACATTTCAATATCATAATGAAAATTCATTCTCAGTGTCAGTCTTTCACCTGCAGAACTCAACATGTGTTCATGACGTCAGAACCAGGTTCTAACAGGTTCTTTTATTTGCTTCTTTGTGTTTCCACGTGTTTGAACTGGATTTACAGCCTTTTGTGTTTGTCGTGTGCAGACTGAGATGATGAGGATCTGAAACAGTTGAAGGTCACAAAGTTCTTACTTGACTCAGTTTCATAGTTTCAGTCGAGATTTAAACGAAGTGAAACTGGCACAAATGTCTCATGTGGGGGGGTGAGGGGGTGAGGGGGCGAGGGAGGGTGAAGAGTGAGGAGATTTCACATGAGAACGCTCTGTTGTGGTGGATGGTGGTGGTGAACGAGTGAATGTGAACGTGTGAGCGTCTGAATAATGAGAGGAAGTTTGCAGAAAAAGAGGTCAAAACAGCGAGTGACCCAGTTCAGGTGATGTGTGGTTTTTTCAGGTCACACTCACTCTGAGCATCATGGGAGTTTAAGATACCACGAAGGAAATCAGTTACTTAACATGTTTCACATCAACTCGACTGAAGAGAGGAAATCAAATAAAAGAGTGATTGTACCTTATAAAGTGAGCAATGTGTGTGTGCAGGTGTGTTTACCTGGACAACCACAGGACTCGTGTGTCAGACTGACTCTGGTTCCTCAAACGCCTCGTGTTCCCGCTCTCTACTTCTGTAGCCGCTCAGTTTGTTCTCTCCGACTTCCCGTATTTCAAATGTCACCTGGAAACAGACGGTTTGACTTGAACGAGTCCTGGTCTGATCTGGATCAAGAACCAGTTCTCTGTCTGACACGTGTCACCTATTCAGGTGTTTGTGTATTTAAGCACTTCCTCTGAACGCAGGACTTCCTCCAGCTGATCAGACTGGGACTGGACCAGACCACCTCTGCTTTCTAACACCTCCCCCCACTATCTGACCTCTGACCTCTCTGACCTCACAGTGGCGCTGTCATCATCGAGTTCATGTTCGCACTCACAATTCTTTCTCCATTTTAACCTCAATTCATCAGAAAACCTCAGTTTTCCCGCCATTTTCCAAAAACAAAAGAAAAAATCAAACACAAAGTCGAAGTGACCTGAGAAGAGTTGACATCTGATAATCAGCTGATTGGATTCATGTGAGACTCTCAGGTCGGTCCAGTCTGAACACCTGGTTCATGACAGGTTAAAGTGGGCGGGGCTTAAAATGAATACATCTACGTTTCACCTTCAACCTTTAACAAAACTTGAGTCGTTCAAAGAGTCACGAGAACAAAATGTGACGAATCTCATACAGATGTTACTTATACAGATGTTACTGATACTGATGTTACTGATGTTACAGATACTGACGTTACTGATACAGATGTTACAGATGTTACCGATACTGATGTTACTTATACAGATGTTACTGATACAGATGTTACAGATGTTACTGATGTTACAGATGTTACAGATGTTTACAGATGCCTTTGTCTTTAATTCCTTCGTTATTTGTGACAATCTTCTTTTTGTTTCTGTTGTTTATTTTCTGTTTGTTTTTGTCTGTTTTATTGACAGAGTTCTATTTGAATGATCGATTATTTTACTTGTTTTTGTGACGGGATCAAATCAACAACGAGAAAGAAACAAAGAAACAAAGAGCTGAATCCACTGACTGAAGCTTCAGTTCAGACGATCTGTTTCTGTAATTTTAAATTTTGAAAAATCACACCCTCATAAAGGATTTATAAATCTTTAGGTTATTAATTCAGTTATTGACACTTTGTCCAGTCAGTACAAACTGCTCTGAGATCAGATCTGTGCTCCCTGTTGTGACGGGTCGGATGAGATTTTCAGGTGGATCATCAGCTGGAAAAGGTTGGTGAAGGTCTGATCTAAACATAACGTTGTTTAATTAAATCCTCCCGCTGTGGAAAAACCTAAAGATTATTTTCTCTATTTAACAAACATCTGTCATGAAACTATCAAGTGATGTGAGAATATCATTTATTCGGATCTCTTCATCAGTTCATTATCATTTAACCCTCTGAGGACATTTTCTCCATTTCTCCATTATTTCTTAAATCCACCTTTTAAAAGTTTCTGACATAAAATAACAGCAGAGAGTTTAATATCACGATGTCCGAACAGTCTCATCTCTGTGTCACCAGGTCACTCACTGTGTGAACTGATCATCAGCCCAAACGCTGAAAACTTGACGCCTGGTTTTTGAAATTCCTCAAATGTCTTGTGAAAACAAACCTTGACTGATGTGAGTTCACTAACATCTATGTTCATAATCACAAAGCAATTCATGAGTAAAACAGAAGATAAATGGACGATAAAAGCCTAAAATGAAAGTTTTGATATCACTGAGTGGTGGAGTCGTCTGTCGCTTGACTGTCACCTCCTCCACTGCAGTATAACGTCCTGTAGCTCCATGCTAACAGAATCACCACGTCTCCTGTGCAGCACAACACATTTATTGAGCCACAAATCACTGAAAATACATTAAAACTAATCTGTTCTTCTTTGATCATTTATATGAAAAGTGTTGGAGTGAAGGAAAAATACTTTGAGGGCTGCACACGCTGCACACGCTGCACCACGGCCAGTTTATAACTGTAAAAACAGGCAGCGTCAGCTGTTTGTATTAGTGCTGCACTGATTCATCAGGCTGATTAAAAAGCTCACGAGGCCGATGAAACACAAAGTGTATGTAGACGCCACAGACAGAGACTCTGCTCAGGGAGACTGAGAACATTAATGAGAAGAAAAGGCTCATGGGAAATACTGAGGAACTGTTTCCTGCTTTACAACCTGCAGCTCATCCACTGGGACTGGAGCTGAAACACAGAGATGCTGCTGCACAGATCTGATATTGTTTATTTCAGTTTTTATTTATGTAATAAGTTCTTTTACAAGTTTACCTGTGGACATTTCTAACATTGTTTCATTTAGAATAAGAGCAGTGCAGACAGAGAGCACATCTGTCTGCAGACAACATGTGTCATATGTTGGCCTTGTCTGAGCAGATCTGAATGAATTTCCCCTTGAGGACAATAAACTGCAACTTCATTTACATTCGGCAGTTTTGTGTTTTCATTGTTATTAAATTCTTGTATTTTAACAGATTAAAAAAAAACAAAAGATATCGGCTTCATATATCGTCCGTCCTGCTCTCTGAACATCTGCCTGTCATTCATCTATATATCATTCAACAAAACTATATACAACAGAGGAACCAGAGTCCTGCATCACTTCCTGTTTAATGTCAGGAACAGTGCCACACCACAGTCTGCACATGTATATACAAAGGAGTTTATTTATATATACAGTATATAGATATATATATATATGTATCAAGGAGATGTGAGAAGGTGGCGAGTCGACAGATTCTAACCACCATATTTCTACGTGGTGTTATTAGAGACCTTCACACGTTTTCCCTGGAGCTGGAAGAGACGAGGTCAGAGACAGGGTTAATGTTCTGACCTGTTGGTCTCCTTCACCTGGTGGTCAAAGGTCACATGACCAACGTCAAACTGTAGAGGTGATTTTCTTGTCTTGATTTTGCTTTTGTTATGTGATGTGAACACACTTCCTGTTGATTTTCAGGATTAAGTGAGAGAAAAGCAACGACTCTAACCTCCACACAGTCTGCACCAGACACAACCCAGACCTCCACACAGTCTGCACCACCACAAACAGAGACCTGAACATGTTCCAGTTCAGACCTGGTCCACTGCGAGACGACATAATCTGTCACATGACCTGGACTTCACTGCTCAGGACAAATCCACTGACTCTACATCAGTCACAGCAGCTCTCACACAGGAAATATCCCTTCAAATTAAAAGTGAGAGAAAGAAGCAGAAGTGGAGACGGAGGTCTCACTGCAGGAGGGAACGTTCAGCAAAAAGAACAGAAGGAAGAGAAAAAAGAGAAAGAAGAGAAAGAAGAGACTCACCGGATCGCTGCTGGTTGCTCTGTCACTCACACAGGTAATGGTGAAGAGAGAGAGTGAGAGGGGAGGGGAGAGAGAGAGAGAGAGAGAGAGAGAAGGAGAGAGAGAGAGAGAGAAGGAGGGGAGGGACGAGAGGAGAAAACAATTGAAACTGATTCTGGACTTCCTTTTTCTGTCTCTGTCTCTCTCTCTCCCCCCTCCTCTCCTGTGACACTGTATGAAGATTGTGTGAAGAGCATGACCCTCCACTGTGTTCACAGAGACTTGGACAGAATGGACCAGGCCCACAGCCGAGGATTTAACACGGTGCTATTGCCTCCACTTGTTACCGAGTGTCAGAGACTCACTGAGTTCGTCTCACTTTGAACATTGTTTTAGTCTCTAATGTTGTTTTTCAGTCTCTCATGTTGTTTTTAGTCTCTTTAACGTTGTTTTTAGTCTCTCATGTTGTTTTTTAGTCTCTTTAATGTTGTTTTAGTCTCTTTAATGTTGTTTTTAGTCTCTTTAACATTGTTTTTAGTTTCTCATGTTTTTTAGTCTCTCACGTCGTTTTTAGTCTCTTTAATGTTGTTTTTAGTCTCTCGCGTTGTTTTTAGTCTCTTTAACATTGTTTTTAGTCTCTCATGTTGTTTTTAGTCTCTTTAACATTTTCAGTCTCTCACGTTGTTTTTTAGTCTCTCATGTTGTTTTCTCATGTTTTTTAGTCTCTCACGTTTTTAGTCACTTTAACGTTGTTTTTAGTCTCTCATGTTGTTTTTTAGTCTCTCACGTTTTTAGTCACTTTAACGTTGTTTTTAGTCTCTCATGTTGTTTTTTAGTCTCTCACGTTTTCTTAGTCTCTCTCGTTGTTTTTAGTCTCACGTTGTTTTTTAGTCTCTCATGCTGTTTTTAATCTCTTTAACCTTGTTTTTAGTCTCTCATGTATTTTGTCTCTCACGTTGTTTTTAGTATCTTTAACATTGTTTTTAGTCTCACGTTTTTTAGTCTCTCATGTTGTTTTTTAGTCTCTCACATTGTTTTTTAGTCTCTCATGTTGTTTTTAGTCTCTTTAACAGTTTTTAGTCTCACGTTTTTTAGTCTCTCATGTTGTTTTTTAGTCTCTCATGTTGTTTTTAGTCTCTCATGTTGTTTTTAGTCTCTGTAACATTGTTTTTAGTCTCATGTTTTTTAGTCTCTCACATTGTTTTTAATCTCCCTAATGTTGTTTTTTAGTCTCTCATGATTTTCTAATTATTATCATTAAGTTCTGATGTTTGTTGTTGTTTATGTTTTAATGTTTACATCCTGCACAGTCATGTTATAATGAATGAGTGAATCAGCTGATGAGTCATCAGCTCCTGCAGCAGGTGAGTGAAGGTCCGCCCCCAGGTGAGGATCACCTGTTCCTCAGAAACGACTGTGCAGAGAATGAGCTCTCGGTTCAAAAAATTTATTCTCTCAGTGAAACACTTAGACATGGATGATACAAACAGGTGCATGATGGGAAAGCCCAGAGAGGTGCATGATGGGAGCGTCAGGCCACCTCCTCCATGTAGTCGGCTCCGTGACTCTGACTGAGCTGGGACACACTCAGGTCCTGGGTGGTGTCCTGCAGAACACAACAGACTGTCAAGACTGGGCCTGGACCAGGACCTGAACAAGGACCAGGAGCCTGAACCTGGACCAGAGGGACCCCCCAGGTGTGCTCACCTTGTCGCTGGTGTCAGGTCCCTCGATGGAGACCTCCTCGATCTCCTCTCCGATGCTCAACTCGCTCCTGGAGAAATCTGAACGATGACTGAAAGAAACACATCTTCATCATCATCTGTTTACTGCGCCTCATGTTTAGTTCCCATGATTCATCTCTTCACTAAGTAAACAGTAAACAGTAAACAGGAACTGACTGAATAAACACACACACACACACACACACACACACACACTGACCTGTTGAAGTCGTCGTCATATTCCACGTCGTCTGTGAAAACAGAGAGAGGAACATGAGCTGCTGCCTGACACTGACTCTATTGATCCTGTCTGAGCAGATGTGGAGGCTGCTGGACAAACAGATGTTGAACAGCTGGAATTATTTTATAATCACAAAGAGACAAGGTGGTCCTGCTCCAATCTAATTAGTTCATCCTTGAGTCCAGGTGAATGTTTGTGCCAAATCATAAGAAGTTCTATCAACGTGTTCCTGAAATATCATGTCCAGGAGAATAAGACGGACAGATTGACTCTGACTGTCGGCGGCGGAGGGATAGAAAGAGCAGTCTGTGTGTGACACAGGAAACATCACAGAGGACCAGGAGCAGCTGTGGAGGACTGACTCCTACCTAGATGCAGGGATCCAGTTTTGTGAGGGGGGGGCCTGGAGTCTCTGGAGCCCCTGTCTCTGGACTCTGACGCTCCTGTGGGAACACAATCAGTTCTGTCAGGACGTGGTTCACAAACCAGCAACTGTTGGCAGATGTTGATCACGTTTACAGGAAGCATGATCTGCCTCTCCTCTCCTTCCACGCTCCCTCCCCCATTTTAGGACATACAGTACAGTCAGGAACTGGGCAAATATAACTGACCGTTCCTGCTGCGGCTTGGCTCCGACGTGCTGCTCCCCCCTCCTCCTCCCCCTCCTGGTCTGGGAGCCTCAGACAGGGACCCTGCAGGACTCTCTCTGGCCCCAGACGCCTCCACCTTCCTGGGATACAGAACAAACAGTCATGGACTTCCTATAAGTGATGCTCTATATGTTCTATATGTGAAACAGACGTTTTAATTCATCAAATCTTTCATTGAGTTTGGTGCTTTTCAATGACAATAACCAATATAATCAATAACGATCAATAAATCAAAGACTGGATCCACAGAGAGAGAGAGAGAGAGAGAGCGAGAGAGATACACCTATAGCTCACCTGAGCTCAGAGCTCTGACTGTGTTCAGACAGAGGATCGTCTCGCTCGCCCTCTGAGTCACCAGCCAGGACAGACAGACTGAGACCAGAGAGAGAGAGAGAGAGAGAGAGAGAGAGAGAGAGGGAGAGGCAGAGAGAGACAGAGAGAGGCAGAGAGAGACAGAGAGAGAGACAGAGACAGACAGAGAGAGAGACAGAGAGAGAGACAGAGACAGAGAGACAGATATAGACAGAGAGACAGTGAGAGAGTGAGAGAGAGAGATAGAGACAGTGAGAGAGAGAGAGAGAGACAGTGAGAGAGTGAGAGAAAGGTTGTTACAGAATCAGTCTCATTAATATGATTCTTTCTAACGTCCTCAGTCGACCCGTGGACCTGTCAGGACGTTCGGTCTCTTAGTTTCAGTCGAGTTGAAACCAGGAGAGAGGCGACGCCCGGAGCTGCTCTGCTGCTCGCCGCTCGCTCACTTCCTCCTCAGAGGTCACTACAGTTTGATGGAGTGTAATCTGACTGTCTGAGCCCATCACACAGCCAGTCAGCGGAGCAGCCCTGATGACATCACACATGAGATGATGACATCAAAGCAGGCAGTGTAACAGTGACAGTCTGATCTGACTCACGCTGACACCTGAGGGCGGGGCTAACCATGCACACTCACTCGCTGAGGCTTTTGCCTCGCCTCATGGGGGAGACGACCGGCCCAGACAGACACTCCTCCCTAAGAGGGACAACACTGTGGGGGGGGAGGGGGGGGGGGGGACACACAGGTAGACAGAGGGGGGACAGGTGAGGAAAGAAGACAGGACAAGGAGACACAAGACAAAAACAGACAGCACAGCAGAGGTACATCCAAGACAAAGCAGGAAATACAGAAACAGGTGTGACAGGTCAAGCACTGCAGGGGGGTGGGGGTGGAGTGGGGGGGTTAGACATCTGGACAGGTTAGTTCAGAGGGACACACATCGTGTCTGGACTCATTCTGCACAAGCATCAGCACTTCATGATTTTCTGTGCTGCTGCTCGTTTGCTACAGTGAGCCTCCACAATAAAAGCACCTTAATGTGAAGGCAGCGCCTGGCCTTTATTGTGAAAACAGAAACATCATCTTTTTACAAGTACACTTCCTGCAGGGAAATACTGCATCGACTATTGACTTACTAATTAGTTTCTAACTAGTTACTGATCAGCTGCACCATCTCTAGATGCACTAACTAACTTACTAAGTAACTAACTAAGTCAACTGCAGCTTTACTGAATCCAAATCCTGTATCAAATCTCTCAAGTTTAACTTTCCTCAGTTGTCAGTAACTAAAGTTATCAATAACTTCAGATCAATAACTCCAGATCAATAACTCAAATCAATAACTGATAAATAACTCAGATCCTGAGGCTGTGTTTACGCTGTTGTTTCTAGTGGGCGGAGCCACACTTCTTGTTGCTGTATAAACATATTCTTTTTCACCAACATTCAGAGGGAGCAGTGAACGTCTCTGATGAGTTCAGGCGTCCTCACCAGCCGTAGGTCTTCTGAGGTTTGGGCAGCGGGTCGTCGAAGAACGAGTCTCCGTCGTCCAGGTCGTCTTCCACCTCCAGGTCCAAGTCCAGACGCTCCCTCCTCACAGCGAGGGTGGAAGTCCTGCTGTCCTGCTGCTGGAAGTCTCCTCTACCCAGAGACGTCACGCAGTCCGAGTCCTGCTCGACGACACGGAAACAGGAAACGCATCACGGCAGGTTCAGCTTCACGTCAAGCATTGGACGAGTGTCCAGAGGTTCGTTAAAGAGCTGATGATTAACGACTAAAAAGGAAGTGAGTGTCGCTGCCTCCGGCTCCATGATGATCACACAACATCTCCAGTCAGTGCAGATCAGCTACGAGCTCCGTCAAAGGTGGATACAAGTACTAGACTGGAAACTTCAAGATGGCCGCCATTTCTGGCAAGCAAATGTTATTTTTTGCAAGTTCATCCACTGTTTTCTCTCGTTAATAATCCAGGTGTCAAATCAAACATTTTAACATTGTAGAAGGTGAAGTTTAGTACACTGTAAAACATTAAATTGAAGTACATTTCCTATGTATGTGGATACAAGTACTAAATATCACTAATCCTTCTTGGGTGTTTTTTGATAAAACACGTTAGCCACTCGAAAATTCAAGATGGCCGTCATTTCTGACAACGTAGAAGGTGAAATTTAGTACACTGTAAGAAATGAAATGAAAGTATATAAAAGCAAAATTATTACTTACAAAAAAAAGTAACTAGCCTAACGTTAGCGAGTTAGCCTAGAGAGCTAATGTTAAGACAAGTAGACTGTCGACTCTTACATAAGTTTTGGTTCATCATTCAGAAATTTCAAGTGGCTAATGGGATTTTTCAAATTAATGACTCCAGATGGAAAAACACACCAATTCTGGTGCTTGTATCCACATTTGAAAGATTATCACACTGAATCATCTTAATTAATGTTCACATTTAGTTTGTACAAAGGACTTCAACATGAAGAAGCTGGTTTCCAGTTAACCACACTGACTGACAGTATATTATCTGTATTCAGTTCAGTATAATGTCCATGTCCACAGCACTGATCCATGTCCTGCTCACCACTCTGATTATCAACAAAGTGTCTTTTATTTTCAGCTGCTTCTACTTTGCCGTTTTTAAAATCGTCCCATCAATAAAACCCAACACTTCCTGCAGGTATTTCACATTAAAAATCCTCTAGGAGTGGGAGGGATCGTGCCTTTACACTGGAAGGAGAACCAGGTATCTCCAGTCACTGTCACTGTGTTTCCAGTCAGTGCTGTGGAAAAGGACGTGACACTGAGTCGTTATGGTGCAGGTGAGTCCCCCACACCTGGGTCTGGGACTTCACGGACTCAGAGTCATGTGATCATCATTGCAGGATTCAGAGTTTCTGTTAGGATGAAGGATTAAAGCAGACAGGTGAGTCTGAGCAGCTGCTGACAACCTCAGACCATCGCTTCGTCCTGGTTCAGGTTTCTGAAGCTGGTCTGGGGTCAGGTGAGGAGCGTTGCTACGCTTTCCCTCCACACAGTCAGACTACAGCTGTGTGTCAGGGTTAACACTGGATCTGTACTTCAGAGGTCAGGACGGCACTTCCTGTCCCGCCTCAGTCAGACTGGCACCAGTGTTTGAGTCAGAGAGGTTTCCTGTCCACAGATCGACAGGAGGGGGAAAGAACTACAACTCCCATGAAGCTTCTCCTGCAGCAGTGCGTTTGATACGTCCTGAGCTCCGCCCCCTCTCTGTGGACAGCAGGTACAACACCCCTCACACCATCACTGGACAGAAGCTCGTGACATTAACCATCAGAACTCTCATGATGCACTGAGCATTTCTCTCTCTGCATCATTGATATCATTGATATTTGATCTGACACTACTCCAAACTCATCCTCAACTTTATTATCATTAACACTATCACACCTGGAACAGCTGTTCCTGAAGGAAACTTAAAAACAAGAGGAGTCTGATTGAAGCTTTATTCTGAAGGGCCATCCTCAGGTAGAGGAAGTCACAGCGACATGTTTCACGTGTGTTGAGGTCTGACTCTGAGAAGAAAATCAGGCTTAAGGGTTAAAGTTGAGTGATTGTGTGAATGTGACACAGAGAAGAATGAAAGCGGCGTGTGGGCGTCGGCGTCAGCAGCAGGAGCTAAGGGTGTTAGCGTGTCTGCCCTGCGCTTGCCACGTCGTTACCTTGGCTGCTGTCTGACTCTGCCCTCTGTGTTTCTGGCCTTTATACCTGGGGATCTGTGCACGACAGGGACAGGGCATCAGTGGCTACACACCTGACACCGCACCAACACACACACATCACACACTGACACTCGCCATCAGAGCAGCTGATGATGATGTGCTCATGTTGGTCTGAACATGGCGTCTTTCAGTGTCTGACTGTTGGAGCAGCTCTTCATAAACCCTTCAGTCCCTCCTCACCTCTCAGAAACTACTAGTTTAAATCAAGTTGCATTAATAAACCTGGAGAAATGTCTCAGCCAATAAAAACTGTAGGAACGTCTTTGTCGGTATCATCTCTAGACGTCCATGTGTAGTGTGATTATAGATCAGCTCTAGCTTCTATATTAATACTGTGAAAGTATCAAAGCCTCAGTCCACAGAGAAATGCACACAGCCTGTATTCAGAAACTGAGCCTTAAAACCAGCCGTCAGGACTTCTGGAACTTTGTGATGTCACAACAAAGCAGTCACCAAGCCCCGCCCACCTGGACCCACCATCCAAACCTTGCAGGATTTGGTTTCTCTGAGTGTTTTTACCTGAAATCTGCTGTATTTTTATTGGTTCACTCAGAAAACAGTCAGCCAATCAGAAGAGAGGCTCAGAGCCTCCTCTCTTCTGATTGGCTGACAAACAGCTCAGGCCTCATGGATTCACAGCACAACCACACACAGCTGGTGGAGCCAGACGTACCTTACTGACAGGTGGAGAGCTGATCTTCTCCTCAGGGGGGGGGGTGACATCAGAGTCCTGAACCACCTGAACAAAGACACAGAGTGAATTCACTGAACTACTTTGATCTTTTCAAGATAAATCTACACAGCATAAAGAGGGTGGAGATTAATGGGAGCTCCTGGGGAGAGTGATTGCAGTCGAAAGCTCTGGGAACAAGTAAGTGAACCTGATTTTTAGTATATTTTCAACAGAGCAGTTAAAGACTTTACAAAAGAAAAACAATCAAATGAAGCAAATAATGACATTAAAGGAGCAGTCCAACATTTTATATCTGTTCAGCCAAATCAAATCACTCATCAAACATTATTTCAGTGGCTCCCATGCTTTGACCTGTGTGATGGATGCATTAGTTTCTTCCCAGATTTGAAGGATTTTCAGCTGATTTTTTAGAGAATTTTTGATGGAGGGCTTTCAGAGGCCTGGACAGGTGAAAATATGCTGTTAAATCAAAATTAAAAACAAAAATGAGAGAAAACTTCATTTTCTTGTAAATCTTTTCTTTCCCCTCCCCTCTGCCTTTATTCGCCTTGAGACCACTAAAGCTTATTCATGGGCCCCTGGAGGGACCCACAGCCCTCAGTTTGGGCACCACTGATGAGACAGTCATTAGCAGGACGAAAAAAGACAAAAGCACAACATGTAAATGAGACAGATTCGGAGACTCTCACCACACTTCTGCACTGAGAGAAGAGACGTCTGTACATCCCCAGAAAGAGCTGCAGGTCTACAGCTGAGAACAGACAGAGACGAGTCAGTGTCAGAGTTACACACCTGATTCCACAGGTGTGACAGCAGCTGATACCTGCCACTGTTGTTTACAGGTACAGTCTGTAATGCTGCCATGAACCATCCTACCTTTAGAGAAGGTTTTGTCAGCAGCTCTGAGCTCGTCACTGATGAACCTCTCCAACATGTTCCTGCAGATCACACAATGTTAGCGCTCATTAAAACGAAACTGAAGAACCAGAAGCTGCAGTTCCTCTAACGACCACTAGAGTCTGGCTCCAACAGTGAGTCAGTCCCCATAGACTCCCATGTTAAAATGTCCAACTTTACAGCAGAAATAAACATGTTTGCAGCCTGGTACAAAAACTGTTTTGGTCTCTAGAGCTAATTTCCTCCTTCATAACACCTGTGTATATAACTCACCTGTTTACATTTTATTAAGGACTACAGTTATGGAGGATTGAGGGCGTGGCCTCTTTGAGTGACAGGTGGGTGAGAATATGCTTGCCACAAAACCGACATGCACCACAGGCCCCTCCTCTTTGACCATATTTGGATTAGCTGGGAGTTAGGGGGCGGAGTCAGACACTGCTGGTTGGTTGATGTACAGTTACTGATGTTGACTGTGATATTTGATAATGATTGGTCCATAGGTATCATGAGTTCTTTTGGCCACGATATTTAAGTAGTGAAACTCTGACATTTAGATTTATTGAATGTGTTACCATGGTAACCATGACAGATAATTATTTCCTACTTGTTCAGTCTGGGGAACAGATCCACGAAGACGCTCTTCACATCTTCCTTTGAAACCAAGCCGCTGCGCTCCTGTAGGGGGGAAACAAGAACAACAATCAACACCTGATGACGACATCTGTGATTGGCCAGAGACCAATGACATCATACACAGGTTTCCTGGAAACTCACCTTGTCATAAAAGTCATATTTCTTGCGGGCGTGTGTGATCTGTCTCTGAGACGGTTCCTACAGAGTGAGAGGAGGCATGAACACAGGAAATACACATGAGTTTTAGAGGTTAGATGATTGTGTGTGTGTGTCTGTGTGTGTGCGTGCGTGTGAGTGAGATCATATACATTTATAAATATCGTTTTTAAAAAGAGAGAATTTCAACACCATGATGAACACTGATCCACGAAGGTTTCACACAGACACCGTCACTAAATCCAAATGTACAAACTACATTCATTTATTTCAAGTTGATTTAGTGGATCAATTAAAAGTAGAATTTCAAAATAAACCTCTCTGACCTCATCATTCAGGGATTACTCATGTTTTCAAACGAATGTTAAGATGTAAAGGTCAGGGGTCGCTTTCACAAAACGCCTTCAGTTAAGATTTTCCTTAAAGTGTGACTTTCTTTAACGTATAAATGTATATGTATGTGTTCATAATGTTCACTTAAGGAATCACTTAAAGTCAGTTAATCCACTCAGACTAGTTCCAGGTCACTTCCTGTTCCTTCCATCTGACCTTTGACCACCAAAATCTAATCAGTTCTTCCTTGAGTCCAGGTGAACGGTGTTACTGAGGCATTGAATTCACAAAGCCAAAACTGTTTTATGAGGCCACTACCAATTGACCTTTGACCTTTTGAGCCAAGTTTGAAGGGATTCCCTTGAGGAGTTCAAGACATCACATTCACAGTGCCAAAATCATTTTTTGTGAGGTCACTGTGACCTTTGAACTTTGACCTTTAGCCACCAAAATCGAATCAGTTAGTGAGTCTAGATGAATGTTTTTACCAAATTAAAAGTTCTGTCGAGGTGTTAAGAGAAGAAGAGAAGAAGAGGTGAAGAAGAGAAGAGGTGTAGAGAAGAAGAAGAGAAGAGCCGTGGGGCCGGTGAGTCCTCTGCAGCTGCAGCAGATGTGGAGCATCAGCAGCAGAAACCAGGACACACTGAGATCAACAGGAAACTAAAGCTCCGTGCCCTGAGTCTCTACTGACAGTCTGCAGCTCAGTGACCCAGATCATAACACCCACCCTCTGAACACACACACACACACACACACACACACACACACACACACACACACACACACACACACACACACGGGGAGAGACCAGAGGAGTGATTACACCTGTCCTCTCTCTCTCTGCTCTCATCTGGACGAGTCCTCACCTGAGTGCAGACGCTCGGCTCGTCTTTGTGGTGTCCTCTCCTGACCAGCTCCAGCAGCAGAGGGGACTTCCTGTTCAGCTCGGACTCCAACAGACCCAGCTCTCTGCAGACCAGGTCCCGGCCTTCCAGACCGTGCAGCTGCAAGCACATGTTGATGTTTACAGATCCACTACTCATCAGTTGGGTCCTTGAATGCATCACCAAACAGTCGCCATAACAACAGCTGACTATTAAAGGATGAGCGAGTTTATTTTGACTGATTGATTATTGGCTAATCATCTTTGAATCAATCGACCAGTCCACAGTTAAACCTGTTAATGATCAACAGGAAGTGAAGTGAGGACTGGTGTTCATGGTAAAGAACCAAAGAAGAAGAGAGACAGGTGGATGATGTGACAGCTGTGAACACAAACCAGAATACAGGTGAGGATGACTGTCCCCTGACACTCACCGAGTTGATCTCCGGCTGGAACACAGCCAAGGTGAAGTCCAGGTTAAAGACCTGCAGGAAGTCCATGATCAGACTGGCCACAAGGCGACCTGCAGCGAGACCGGGACAGGTGAGTCAGGACAGGTGAGACGGGACAGGTGAGTCGGGACAGGTGAGTCAGAAAAGGTGAGACAGGACAGGTGAGTCAGGTTAGGTGAGACAGGACAGGTAAGTCAGGACAGGTGTCTTCTTCAATGATGAATCTACTGATCATTTTCTTTATTGATGAAACATCAGATCAGTTATTGACCTGTTCAGATCTTGTTTTGTTCACATTCAGTTTATGATCATGTGATGAAGAAAAACTGTTTTAATATCGACTGATACAATGAATCAAAATGAACTTCCTGTTGATTGATCGACTTCATACAGTGAAGAGTCAAAGTGAGATGAACATCTGCAGTGTGGTTCTATATTCTATAACAACCTGCTGCTGTGTGAAGACTTCTCTCTGGTTCTGGTTCTGAAACTGACAGAGGGTTCTGCAGGGAGAGAACCTCAACGACTCAAACCCTCTGAGCTTAAAGCAACAAACATGGCAGGAGAACCCAGTGCGGTTCTTCAGGTTCTCTTGAATCCTGCAGGTTGAGCCACAGCTCCCCCCTGTGGTGACTCCCATCAGCTACAACATGTCTGTCCACTGACCGACTCATCACAGACACTAGAGCTCAGTCGGTGTGGACAGTGACAGCAGCTCAGAGGAGGGAACAAGATGGAGGCCAAGGTACGAGTAATGTCAGATAAAAATATATAAACATCATGTAAACAAACATCAGCTGTGTGACATCACCTGAGGGGAAGCAGGAACACCGCCCTTTTCAGTCTGGGTGTTAATTGAATTTTATTTATGTTTATTTATTTATCTTTCTGTTTATTTGTTTATTTCAAGCTGTTTCACTGGTTTGTCCTTTTATTGTGTTATTATTTTCTGGATTCTTTTCCTTTTATTTCTGGTTATTTCCTCACTTAAATACATCTCCTCTGTTTTAGTATTTTATTATTTTATCTTCATCACTGCGTCATTATCTTTGCTCCAGTCTTCAGCGTTCCCTCATTTCCTGTTATTATTATCTTATTTCTATTGTTTTTATTTATTGCTTGGTCATTTATTCTTGTGTGTTTTATCGCTTTTATTCTACAAATAAAGTCTGATTGATTGATTGATTGATTGAATACAGAAGCATGAGGGACATACAGGAGAGTGAATGACTCACCGTCTTTGGTGTTGAGACACTTCTTCAGGTTTTCATTGATCAGAGGAGTTTTATTCTGATGATCAAAGAGGAACAAAGTGTAAATCAATAAAGTGACAGGAACCACGGTTGGTACTCTTCACTGTGAACATGAACCATCACCTCCAGTTTGTCCTGCTCCTCCATGGCCAGGAAGACGGCCGCCCTCATCTCCGCCTGCAGCAGGAAACAGTACATTCATTTTGATTCCTCATTGATTCTTATTTTAAAGAAAACATTTCATGAGTTCTGGTTAAACTTCCTCAAAGAGAAGCAGCTTTATCATTTTCTGACCTTTCTTGGATGAAATGATGAATCAAAGATAAAAAGAGAAACAGTAAGTCACTGGACGAACTTTGTTCAGGCCACAGTTACTGTCACACTCATTTACACACTGCGTCTCTGTTTGTTCACACTGACACAACTGTTTTGTTTAATCAGTTAGTCCTTCAACATAAAACTAATCAATGACCTGGACGGCTTCTCCTGTAAATTCTATATAATCTATTTATGTGTTCTACATATTCTATACACTGTGAATGTTGTGGATCCCTGTGATAATAATCTGAGCATCTTTAGCTTTTGTCAGATCATCATCTTGGAGAATCTGTTTAATATGTTTTTTATTCCATTATTAGACAAGTGATTAACCAGTTGATGACAGATGACTGGACAGGGAAGATAACGATTAGCCACAGCTCTGAACTGAGGAGAACGTCAGAGTGTCAGGCCACAATGAGGGAGGAAATCTGACATTAGAGAATAAAGTCGTAATATTACGAGAATTAGAAATGTAAAATCTGGAGAGAAAAAAACATTTATTCTCATATTATGACGTTTTTCTTGTAAAATTGCAACTTTATTCTCATAACATTATGATTGTATTTTCATTATATTATGACTGTTTCTTCATAATATCATGACTTTATTCTCATTATATTATGATTGTATTTTCATAATATCATGAATGTATTCTCATTATATTATGATTTTATTCTCATTATATTCTGATTGTATTTTCATAATATTGGGACTTTTCTTGAAATGTGAAGATTTCCTCTCCTACTGACTTTGAGCTCCTGTGTGTTTGGAAACTGGTTTTAAATCTTATTTTGATCATTAAATCTTCAAAGAGTCTGAAGATCAAACCTTCCAATCAGCTTCTACCGGAACAAACTGTCAGCGAACACAGAACAGCCTCAGAACCGGCTCAAGAAAACCCGAACCTGCCCCCGGTACTGAAACTACAACAGTCACCGTGACTTCACCAAAACCCGTTCAACTTGCTTGCTAGCTGCTAAGCTATCATTAGCCTAGCATCGGTATTCCCGGTGACACGGAGCGGAGTGAGGTTAAAGGTTGTCGGACCTTGAGCTTGTTGAGGACTCCGTTGTTCTCCAGGTTCTGGATGAGCAGGTCCCGGAGCTCGGTGTCGTCCTCGGTAGCCGACATGTTCCCGTGTTTTTTCCCTGGAGCTAACGGCTGCTGTTGTCAGGGACTACACAACAAAACACGGAAAGGACGCCGTCTCCTTCTTCTGCTGCTGCTGCTGCTTCTTCTTCTTGAGGTTAATCTGCAAACACGGAAATGGATCATTACCGCCCCCAACTGGAGTGGAAGATCCGGAGTCACTGACATTAGCTAGTGAACAGCAAAGGTGTTTCCAGCCTGTTCATTAAGCAGTTCGGTAAAAACAGACAGTAAACTTGATTTAACTACTTCAAGTCAACTACAGTGTGAAGAGGAAACAGATATGTCTTGAATTTCCATTTATGAAATATACATTTTTATTTTATATGTACATATATGTAAAAATCATATAGAACAACTTCATTTATTGACATATATATCTAGCCTGTACATATTTATACATTTATGTATGTATGCTTATATAGAAAGATGTTACATAAATATACATCCATCCACAGCCTGTTAATATGTGTAGGTATTATAAACAGTAGAGTTCAAAAGTCTGAGACAGAATGTGAAGTTAGACATGTTTAAAATCCATCAGAAATTAATACAAAAAAACATATAGATGTTTTAATATATATTTTTATGTGTATTCTCTTGTTTTACTTTGTTTTTAATTTGTGTGGATTTATAGGAATTAAGTTCAAAAGTAACAGATTGTATTATCCTGCCATCATATAGTGTAATATCATATACAATGATGTACAATAACAGTAACATTAGTGCTTTACATTTGTCTTTCTGTCGCTCTGAAGTTTTACTGTTTGTAGGAGCTGAATCAGACAGTCAATACCTGATTGATTACAGTAATCGATACTGTAACTGTTACTGAGCTGTGAACAGAAAACAGAAAATGTCTTTACTCAGTTCTGAACTTTGTGTTCGCCATGATTCTGTGGAGTGTGATGAACAGTGATTGTCTTTGTGTCTGATCTGAAAACAGTGTTTGATTAATGATGATTGATTGGTGATTGATTGGTGACTGAGTCAGAGGTTTTGGTGAATGTAGTTTTCTGTTGTCAAGAATAAATGGAGAAAACAAAGAGAATAAAGGTGACTGCAGGGAGGAGGAAGGTGAGGAGGAGGGGGTAAAGAAGAAGAGTGGGGGGGTGGAGAGGAGGACACAAGGAGACAGAAAAAATTTGTCAGTCGGGGGGGGGGGTCTTGCTCCTACTGGGGGGGGGCTTATGTCTGTGTCCAGGGGCCCATTGTGTCTCACTCTGTCCACGAGGAGGAAGAGGAGAAGAAAAAGAGGGGGAGGAGGCAGAGGAGAGAGAGAAGATGGGAGTAAGAGGAGGAGGAGAGGGCTGAGGGGAGGACAAAAGGAGAGGAGGAAGAGGGAAAGGAGTGAAAGGGGGAGAAAGGACCTAAAAAGATGGATGTGAGGGGGGGGGCATCAGATGGAGGAGGGAGGATACAGACAGACAGGGTGAGGAGGAGGAACAGGAAGAAGAGGAGGAAGGAGCATCATCAGGACACACAGACCGACGGACAGACGGGGGGGGGGGAATGGAACGGAGCCTCCGTCGCCGCCTCGAAGCTGCTGCAGCCGGACACACAAGCAGCAGATCCGGCCGCAGACACGGAGCCATGGCCGCTGACGGCAGCCGATCCACGGCCTGCACCGGCTCCAGCCTGCTGCAGCCGGTCAGTGAGATCACCAACCTGCCGCTGGACCAGGTAAGACCCACCGGGACACCTCCACACAGGGGCCGAGCCTCCCAGCCTCCCAGCCCGGCGGTGGTCTTTCCCGGAGCTCCGGGGCGGAGACCGGCGGCTGCTGGCTCTCACATTCTGTGCGGTAAAAGCGGCACGCGCGGCCGGAGAGAGTGTGACTGATAAATAGGGCGGATGAGACGGAGTGAACGATGGGTCTGTCCGACACGGAAAATGGACGGAGGCCTGTCGGTGCAGAGACGGTCCGGTCTAAACGGTGTCTGAGGCTGCTGTGATTACTGTGGTGCAGCGGGACGGTGTGTGTGGCTGACAGCGTGGTGTGTGTCCATGGTGTGTGTCCATGGTGTGATGTGCAGGAGAAACATGGAATAACTGATCAGCTGATCTGTGCTCATGTTACTGACAGGAAGTCAGTTTAATTTTGTGTTTTTGAAGAAGGTGAAGATCAGAACTGGGTGGGTGGGGGTGGGGGGATGTCAGAGAGCTAAAAAACGATCATTTAGGTCGTTTGTGCAGCAGGTTAATATGACCCATAGTTACGTTTTGTTGCTAGGCGACATCTAGTGGCGGAAGTAATTATGACAGGAGCAAAGTCTGAAACCTTTTATCCATGAGCCTCCACAGAGTTAACCAAGTTGTTGTAATCGTAACCATGACAACAGAGATCGTCCAATGTTGAGGAAGTGCTCATATGAACCCAAATCAGCATATTTTCCTAAACCTAACCAAGACACGACCTTTATTATAGTAACCATGGTGACTAGGGTAGGTACACCTCGGTACAGTCGCCTGTTTATTATGGTAACCATGACTACTGAGGTCCGGTACGCCTGCAGCCATGCAGTGATTTCAGGAGACACTCCTACGGGTCGTATCAGAGGGTTGGAACAAACGACCTGTATGGTTGTTCAGGTCGGATAAACCCAGGTCCTCGGCCCAAGTCTGGCCCACATTACTTCCACATCTGGAAGTAATGTGTAATGAATAATGAGTCCAGCTGGTATCCTCCAGTGTTGGCTGACAGATGTGGAAGTATCATCTGACAGTCATGTTGTCAGGCTTAAAGAAGAAAAGCATGTGGGCCAAGTGTGGGCCGGATTCATTAAAACATGGACACCCATTCATTATGAGATAATTAGACTAAAGATGATCTTTGTCTCATTATAACAGGTGAACGGTCAGCTGTGATCTGTCAATATGAAACATCATCTCTATCTAAAACACCACGGAGCCTCTTGGATTGATTACTGTCAGGTTTCAAAATAAAACAGCTTCAAGCTCTGGACTGTTCCAGATGATTAGTGTAATTAAATCACTAAAGGATTAACTGACATGACGAGATCAGCAGACCTGAGTTAGGTAATGATCATATCACCTGATCAAGCAGCTGTTTACCTTCTCATCCAGCTGTTACACATCATCATGATGATCCATGTGTCACCTGATGAGTTTCCGTTTCCCTCTCTGTTAGCTCTATGTTTGGTCTCCACCAGCTCCTGTGTAAACACCTTAATTTCTCCTTAGCTGAGGGAGTTACTTAAGAGTGTTGCAAATGAATCTCTGAAAAGGTTTCCTTAGTTAAGGAAAAAAGTTCAGGCATTTGCACCAGTAAAAGAGATTTTACAGCAGTAAAACTCTACTGTTTCCATGGAGACTGTTGATTTGCTGCCATTAGAAGCCGGTCTCTCATCCTCCTGATGTTTTGACGGGAATTTCACCAGGTGAACTTTGGTCTTCTGTGCAACTGCTTAACTGACTTTAAGTGATTCCTTAAGTGTAAAACTAAGATGAGGAGAAAACCTTAAATACGCAAGGGAACATTTTAAGGAGAAAACTTAAGGTGTTTTGTGAAACCTGCCCACAGCTCATTAGTTGCCGCTCGGCTGATCACTGCAGGTGGAGACCTATCATAAATTAATCTTATATCTTGTGACAAAAAGGAACGAATGTGATTTAAAAACACAGAGAAAAAAATATATTAAATATAACACAAGAGATAAAATGAAAAAACTTCCCATCCCTCCCACACACGTTAACAGGTGATATATAATCAGCAGTGTAACAGGTAGATGTGCCTGCGCTCTGATTGGCTGAGAGCCAGGCCTCTGAACAGATCCTGATGGTCCAGGTGAGGGATGAGGATGAGGATCAGGTGACCCACAACGTTCTGCTGCTGCTGATTCAGGAGATGAACTCTCTGAGTCGTACTCTTACTTAGGCACTTAGGTTACTTACTGGTTTTACTGGGAAACATCATTACCAGTCAGTCACAGGGGGGTAAAAACTTGATATTGAGCAAGGATGTCTTCAGTGAAGACCCTCCATCCTCCAGACCACACCTGCTGACCTGCTGGGTCTGAACTCTGTCTGCTCGTTACTGACTCTAGTCACTCTGTTTATACAGCGTCCATTACTAATGAGCTATACCACAGACTGATCACATGGTACACTGTGTACTACACTGTCAGAGTACTACACCCTGTCAGAGTACTGTGCTGTTTATCCAGTCATATTTAATATGAACCACTTGTGTGACATTATGTCATAATTGCTGTGAAGTCTCGAGTTATGGCTAAAATATGTTTTGTGAGGTCACACTGACCTTTGACCTTTAACCTTTAGTCACCAAAATCTGATAAGTTCATTCTTGAGTCCAGATGAATGTTTGAGCCAAATTTAAAGAAATTCCTTCAAGGTGTTACTGAGATATCGTGTCCATGAGAATGGGACAGACGGATGGACAACCTGAAAACAATATGGCTGCCACTCTGACTGTCGGCGGCGTGGAGGAATAATGACGTACAGGGCGGTTTGATAAACGCCACGAGACAGGTCAGATTCTAAATGTCATGTGTAAATAGCCACACCCACCCTGTGACTGTGAGCAGAGTCAACTCAGGACTGAGGCTGGATCCTCCTGAGGAAACAGGAAGGAGAGAGTGTGATGAAGACGTCCGTCCTCACAGACCGAGCTGCTACAAGGACGTGGGTTTAATGAAGCTCCACCTCTCAGCGTCCATCTTTCTCTGACTGCTCACTAAAGCAGCAGAGGGAGACCCCATCACATTGGAGGTCGTTCTCTCTTTTAGCTCAGAGACCTCAGGAAATGAAAACACTGAACACACAGATAATAAGAGTAATACTCCAAACTTCTAGTACCAGCACTGCAACACAGAAATATAATACAAGTACTCCATAACAGGTAGAAGATGCAGCCATTTACTGTTCCAGTCGTTTTCAGCAGCTGTTGAACAAGTTGAAAACATAAGCTCAACTCTTCCTCTGTCGCCTCTGGGCATTGTAGGAAAAGATGTATTTTTCTTGGGATGCTCTTGTGTGAAGTAATGTGTCAGATGGACAGCAGGTCGTAGCTCTCACGCTTTAAATATCTTCTGAAGGTCTAATTTTATCAGCTCAGACGTTAGAGACTGTTCACCAGCAGACAGCTGACTGCAGCTTCACTCACCTGGACAACAGGCCAACTACCACTGCTAACACTGCTAACATTACTGCTAACAACACTACTGCTACTGCTATCATTAATGCTAACAACATTACTTCTACCACTGCTAACACTACCGCTAACACGCTACTGCTACTGCTGCTAACATAGCTGCTAACAACATTACTTCTACCACTGCTACCACTGCTAATACTACTGCTAACAACACTACTGCTAACAACATAACTGCTAACAATACTACTACTGTTGCTGCTGCTGCGGCTGCTGCTGCCAACACTACTACTACTACTGCTAACAACATTACTGCTGCTACCGCTAACAATGCTACTGCTACTACCACTGCTTCTACTACTTCTGCTACTGCTGCTAACATTGCTGCTAACAACATTACTTTTACCACTGCTACCGCTGCTAACACTACTGCTAACAACATTACTACTAACAATACTACTACTACTACTGCTAATAACATTACTGCTGCTACTGCTAACAATGCTACTGCTACTGCTACTACTAGTGCTTCTACTACTACTGCTAATACTACCACTGCTACTTCTGCTACTGCTGCTACTGCTAACAACACTACTACTGCTGCTGTTAGTGTTGACAGCATCACTACTGCTGCTGAATCCTAACTGTTGAATATGTCCCTGCTTGAATTAACCTATAGTTGTGTCTGTTTTCCCTCTCTTTGTCTGCAGGTGAACTTTGTGGTTTGTCAGCTCTGTGCTTTGCTGTCGGCCTTCTGGTTTCGTCTCTTCCTCCATCCCAGAAAAACCAGTCCCTTCATCAGACATGTGGTGGCGACTCTGCTGGGACTCTACTTCGCTCTATTCTGCTTCGGCTGGTAAATTTACTGCGATACAATATTATTCAAAAAAATCTGACAACGATTTGTTAGTTATGTTTTCAATAAGGATTAAAGAAGAGTGACCCAGGTGTGTTGAGATTTTACAGTGTAAAAGTCAGGAGACAGTTTCTACATGACATCATCTCTCCATTTCTTTACTATTTACTGTCATTTATCATAAATACAAATCATACTGCAACTTGATTTTAAGAATAGTTTGTTGAAATGTTTGTTCGATAGAAACTACAGTGAGCATCTGGTTTGAGGAAATTACTGGACCTTTTTAAGACAAAATTGCTGCAAATCCAACAACAGGTGGTGCTGTAACACTGGTTTCCTGTTATCTCAGGATTAAATTGTACAACACGATGAGCTCATCAAAATGAGGAAATATGATGATGTGTTACTTTTTAGAAATATCAATATCTAACATTGAACCTGTCTTTTTGATCAGCTCATTAACTTTTTCACTGCAAGTCAAGTTTGGAAATTGATTGGTTTGACGTTTTCAGTAGGAACCAATGGGCTCGGAGTCACAGACAGAGGAGGGAAGTGTTGAAAGACGGACCAACACGCTGTTGATTTGGCTCTGAACAATATAACATAAGAACAGACTTATCCTTTAAGTCTAAATGTTGTAGTATAATAAGTATAATATCTCATTAGGTTCGTTTTGGTGTTTGGAGGTGAATCTGTGGAGGTGTGTCTGTGTCTCCAGGTATGCTCTTCACTTCCTGGTTCAGAGCGGACTCACTTACGGCATCATGATCCTGACTGGAGTCGAACACATGCACAAGTAAGCTTCACAAAGTCCTCATATCACTGGTTTATGGAAAGCCGTTTGAGCATTTATTCGATATCCTTGATATCAAACGTAAGTTTCCTCTACTAGTTCGGTCTTTGGCAGCACTAGTTGGACATTTTGTCGAACTAGTCGGCCATTTTGCTGTACAAGTCGAACAAAAACTCAAACTAGTTACGCTTTTTCAGCAACTAGTGACACTTTTGGCCGACTAGTTCGGACAAAAGCCGTACTAGTTGAGCCGAGCGCCGTACTAGTAGCGCCAAAGTCCCAACTAGTACGCTTTTTTGCGCACTAGTTGACTACTGGACCCAACTAGTAAAGCTCAAAGTCTTACTAGTTAAGTAGTGTGCTGCAAAACCGCCGACATGTTAACTAGTCGAGCGCAAATTCGCCTTACTAGTTGACTAAAATAAATAAAATAAAATAAAATATGAAATAGTGTAGAGTGTGGTGGTGATACGACAGAATTGTATGTGTTATTTATATAATATACTAATTCTAAACATGTTGTATTATAATAATACCATATATATTATTATATTACTATTAATAATTATAATTTAAGACTCCAGAGGTCCCTCTGTGACACTGATGTATTTGGCTGATGTTAAATGAAAATGTTGCTGTTACACAAAGTCAGAACAGAATAATATTGTTCTGGCTCGATATCAAAGGTTTTCTAACATCAGCTACAAAGAAAGACAGAAAGACGATGTTCAGACGCCTGCAGGACAATTTGTTGTGATGTTTGAATCAGCGCTGTCTTCCCTCTTTGAACGAAGCTGTGTTTGACTCAAATGATTCAGCAACACAATCCCACAGTCATCAAATAAGATGTAATCTCTGCTTTCTAACAGACTGTAAAGCAGCTGTAATCAGGTCTAAGTCTTTATCAGTGTGTCTGAGAGTCTGACACTCATCAGCTGCTGCACACACAGACACATCAACACAGACACGTCCTCAAACCTGCTCATGAGTCATGTCAGACGGGCTCACCAGCAGCTCCCTCTGAGGACAGCTGAGTGCTGGAGGTCCCGTTCAGAGCCGTGTTGATTATGCTGCCACCTGCTGGTTCCCCGGGTCATCACAGCACCTGAGTGCACAGTCCATGTTAAAGGTCCATCCACTTTTAAAAAGCTTCACTGGTTGAGAGGAGAAAACAACCACTCACTTACAAAACTGTTCAAAATAAAAGCACCAAAATATTGAATTGGTTATTGACTATTGTCACTGAGATAAAACTTTAAAGAGGCTTTACATCTTTACAAAAACTAGAATCTGCTTTTCCTCCACTCAGACTAGTCTCAGGTTACATCCTGTTCATCCAGAGTCATAGAAAATATGAACTTTTGTGTGAAACTTTGTCGTAATTGCTGTGAAGTCTTGAGTAACCTTTGACCTTTGACCCCCAAATTCTAATCAGTTCGTCCTTGAGTCCAGGTGAATGTTTGTGCCAAATTTGAAGAAGTTCTGTCGAGGTGTTAGTGAGATATTGTGTCCACAAGAATGAGATGGACTGAACACCTGAAAACAAAATGGCTTCCGCTCTGACTGTCGCCAGCGGAGGAATAACAAATTCATTTGTTTATAATAAATACTTCATAGTGAAGTGATTTCCTCAGTCAAACTACTCGATTCAGGCTGAAGAGGTCAAATTAACCAACAGTTCACACCTGTGGCCCCTTGGAGGAATTTGACCTGTAGTGACCTTTCACCTGAGCCATCCTCTAGCGCCTCCCTCAGGAAAAACTGCATGTTAAGCCCCACTGTGACAGAGTCCTGTTGTGTTTCAGATACTGCCTGCTGGTGGCTCTCAGCTACCTGAGTCTGTGTCAGATCACTCGAGTCTACGTCTTCGACTACGGCATGTACTCTGCCGACTTCACCGGGTAAGACCGAGACCCCTTCAGTCCTTATCCTGAAGTCCAGACTGTCTCTGCTGACCCTGAACCTTAGTCTGTCTCCACCCTCACTGCTGTCCTTCTCTCCTCAGCCCCATGATGGTGATCACACAAAAAATCACCAGCCTGGCGTTTGAGATCCATGACGGTGAGCATGTGACCACATCAAGCTTCTGGTTTCTAAATGGTACGTAGTGCTCAGACCAGCAGCTGACGGTCAGTTTTCATGTCTTCCATAGGAATGGCTCGAAAAGAGGAACATCTGACTCCAGGACAGAAGATTTTGGCCATAAGGTTTGTTTGACTGAGGCTCCACCCACACTGCTGCGTTTTCATTTAAAACTCATCAACTGTCCACACGACTTCCAGTTTTCAAGCAACTAAAACTCTGGGGTTGTGTTTTATTCTGAAAACTCTGGGGTTGTGTTTTATTCTGAAAACTCCTGGGTTGTGTTTTATTCTGAAAACTCTGGGGTTGTGTTTTATTTTGAAAACTCTGGGGTTGTGTTTTATTCTGAAAACTCTGGGGTTGTGTTTTATTCTGAAAACTCCTGGGTTGTGTTTTATTCTGAAAACTCTGGGTTTGTGTTTTATTCTGAAAACTCTGGGTTGTGTTTTATTCTGAAAACTCCTGGGTTGTGTTTTATTCTGAAAACTCTGGGTTGTGTTTTATTTTGAAAACGCTGGGGTTGTGTTTTATTCTGAAAACTCTGGGGTTGTGTTAAATTCTGAAAACTCTGGGGTTGTGTTGTAGTCCGAACAGAAACTGAGACCTTTGTAAACGATGAGGTCACAGCCACGGTCTCTCCTGATTGGCTGTCATCAGCCTGGACTACCAGTGGTGAATACAACATGATGATGAATGACAGAGTTACAGACCTTGTTGTCTTTGCAGCTGCTGTTGTTCACTTACTGTACATTCTGTTTTAATGCTACAACTGTAGAGGAGACAATCTACTTCCTGTTTACACCGGCTCACACACGCTCAGTGCAGGTGACTGCTCCAGAATGTGAGTTTTCAGGTGGTAGAAACCGTAGTCGCAGCCTGCGTTCACTTTTACCCCTGCAGGAGTTACAACATCAACCAGCGCATTACTGAACATTTTTAAAATGTAATTCTATTTTTACCCCAAATAAACAAGTCGAAGCACAATTTATATTAATCCTAAATATAATCAGAAGGTCATGGCCCCTTTAATGAATTACAAAGGATCATTTATTCACTATATTGTCAGTTTAACTTCTGTCTCACTCAACAAGCAACATTAAGACAGTCCTGTCTCATGATGTCTGTCTCACCTGTGCTGAAAGTCTCTCTCCTCCATCTTGTTTCTCTGTGTCCGGACATCTTCACCTTCCTCCTAAACTCATCTAACGTGCAGTATGGAGGGAAAATATCTTAAAGTCACTTCACTGATAATCTTCAACATATTTACCATTAACTGACAACGACACAGTGACGCTGTAGAATCTGTGTTTACCTGCCTCAGTGATGTTAGTCTTCCTGTCTGCGGGTCTGGACTGCAGCTGCAGCTCAGGAAAGGCGGGAACTTCGGTCCTGAGGAGTCTTAGTGTTTATTGACTGTAAGGTGACCAGATATTTAAAATGAAACCAGAAACATTTCCAGTTCGATCGTCAATAAATCATTAAAATATCCAATGTTTTTATTGATTAAATAAGAAAGGGAGATATTTTCAGCTCGTTATCTTCCTGTGAAAACAATTCTTTCCTTTGGCACTACTTTGTGTGTGTGTGTGTGTGTGTGTGTGTGTGTGTGTGTGTAGGAGGATGCCCAGTCTGCTGGAGTACTTCAGCTACAACTGTAACTTCATGGGGATCCTGGCCGGACCCACCTGCTCCTACAACGACTACATCGCCTTCATCGAGGGAGACCCCCGTCGCCATAGAGACCAGGATGCTGACAAGAAGCCCAACGGCAAGCTGAGGCAGAGCGAGCCATCGCCAAACGTAGGTCACATGACGGCAGCTCCTGTTGTTGCCATGACAGCAGACACTAAACTAAACTGGAGTCGTGGTGTGTGTGTTTCCTCAGACGGAGGTCATCAGGAAAGTGGCCACCTCCTTCTTCTGCCTGCTGGTCTTCCTGTCCGTCTGTAAAGTCTTCCCCGTGGAACGAAACATCGACGACGACTTTATCGCCAATACGCCCTTCTATGCTCAGGTGGTCTACCTGTACCTGTCCATGCTGACCACCAGACCCAAGTACTACTTCGTCTGGACGCTGGGTGAGTGTTGCAAACCTGGATGTCTTCATCAGTCTGTCTCACCTGGTCCCAACACCTGTTTTCATCAGCCCGTCTCACCTGTCCAACACCTGTCTTCATCAGCCCGTCTCACCTGTCCAACACCTGTTTTCATCAGCCCGTCTCACCTGTCCCAACACCTGTCTTCATCAGCCTGTCTCACCTGTCCCAACACCTGTCTTCATCAGCCCGTCTCATCTGTCCCAACACCTGTCTTCTTCAGTCTGTCTCACCTGCTCCCAATACCTGTCTTCATCAGCCCGTCTCACCTGTCCAACACCTGTCTTCATCAGCCCGTCTCACCTTTCTAACACCTGTTTTCATCAGCCCGTCTCACCTGTCCAACACCTGTCTTCATCAGCCCGTCTCACCTTTCTAACACCTGTTTTCATCAGCCCGTCTCACCTGTCCCAACACCTGTCTTCATCAGCCCATCTCGCCTGTCCCAACACCTGTCTTCATCAGCCCGTCTCACCTGTCCCAACACCTGTTTTCATCAGCCCGTCTCACCTGTCCCAACACCTGTTTTCATCAGCCCGTCTCACCTGTCCCAACACCTGGCTTCATCAGCCCGTCTCACCTGTCCAACACCTGTTCTCTTCAGTCTGTCTCACCTGTCCAACACCTGTCTTTATCTTCTCTAACCTCAGCTGACGCCATCAACAACGCCGCCGGCTTCGGCTTCAACGGCTACGACAGTGACGGCTATCCTCGCTGGGACCTCATCTCCAACCTGCGGATCCTCAACATCGAGGTGAGGTCATCTCTGTTGTCAGACCTGGAATCTGTTTCTCGATGATGTCACACTGACTCACATCTGTGCTCTTCCAGTTCGCCACCAGCTTCAAAGTTTTCCTGGACAACTGGAACATTCAGACGGCGCACTGGCTCAAAAGGTCTGAACACATCAACACCTTGATGATGTCACCAAACTCACTTCCTTGTTTGTGATGTTGAAGCATGTTGTGAAACTGCAGTGATGAGGTGAAGATCAGCTCCACCTGTGATTAGCACAGAGCAGTGGAGCAGTGTCACCTCCTGGATTTATTCTCACTGCTACAAGCTGCCTTCCATTTTTAATGAATTATTATTAGAATTTTTCCAATGAAGATGGTGACAATTTTTATTTTCTCACACAGTTTCATTGCAAAAAAAACAACATTTAAAAAACGTCACAACCTATTTTAGCTGCACCGATCCAAAACCAGCCTGAGAAACCCTGAAGGGATGGACAGTAGAAGTGTCACTCATGGTCTGTCGTCGTTTCTCTTTGTGGTTGTTTTGTCACCGTCTACGTGTCAAACAAATGAACCTGCTGGTCATGTGTCTGACCTCTGACCTCTGGTTGACAGGGTGTGTTACGAGCGATGTCCCTACCACCCTACAGCAGCCACCTTCATCCTGTCAGCCATGTGGCATGGAGCGTATCCAGGCTACTACCTCACCTTCCTCACCGGCATCGTCATCACACTGGCAGCTAGAGCGGTGAGCGCTCCCTGCTAGTTACAGCTGTGTCTATGCTAACAGCAGCTCTCAGGGGCTACGCTAACATTAGCTCACATTATGTTAAATGACACTGGACTTTCACTGTATGCAGCTACCTGAATAAATACTGTTTCCTCTCAGGTCAGACACAACGTTCGGCCACACTTCCTTCAGTCACCCTCCCATAAACTGGTCTATGATGTCATCACATGGGCGGCCACTCAGATTGCCATCTGCTACACAGTGGTGCCTTTTGTCCTGTTGTCTGTCGGCCCGTCGATAAAGTTTTACAGGTCAGTCTGCCAGACGGGTTTAATTAATTCAGGTTTAGCTCTGTGTCAGTCAGGTTCAACTTTGATGAAGTTGAGGTTTAACTTTTATTGGTCAAGTTTAACCCAGGTTTAACTTTGTGTCAGTCAGGTTTAATTCAGACTAATTTTGACTCTGTCAGGTTTAACTTGATTTCACGTTTTGACGGTCAGTTTTAACTCAGGTTTAACTTTTTAACAGTCAGGTTTAATTCCAGTTTAACTTAGCATCAGTCAAGCTAAACTCAGGTTTAACTTTTTTGTAATTGGGTTCAACTCTGGTTAACATAGTATCCGTCCTCCCTCCTCCATAGGTCCTGGTACTTTGGTCTCCACATCGGTTGCGTTCTGCTGGCTGTGGCGTTGCCGGTCAAACCGAGACATCTCCGTCTCAAAGACCAGAAGAAAAAATTGCCCCAGGAGCCAGTCCAGCACCACCTGGAGGCTTCAGACAGCAACTGCAGCCAGAAGGAAAAAACCACGAGACAGACCACAAAGAACAATCGCGTATGACATTATATTTCCATTCACTTGTATAGAAAGACCAGGAGGTGAACCACATCAAACGGACCTTCTTCCTTTCTGGGGTACAGAAACACGATGGTCAAGTTAAAATACTCTTTTATTTGGATTCATGGGGCAATGGAGATGAAAACATGCCCTGAGTTTTGAAGGCCTGTGTTGTACTTGATGAAGTGTAGTCCCATGAACAACTGCCCGGATAGCAATTGGACTCCGAAAACCAACAGAATTGAACATTGTTTGGGTCAGGTGGCAGATTCAGACCAATCTGTAGAAAGTACATATATATACTGAACTGTCATGGCCGCCTGTGTAGTGTTAAACTGACTCAATTTTCTTTCCTTTCAGAGCCCTGCAGACTGTCCATCTGCAGGAGTGAGTGGATAAAGGGAGGAATAACTGAATGGATGAACGGATGATTAAATGAGATTATATGAAAAGACAGAATGAGTAAGTGGATGAATAAATGAGTTTGGTGAATGAATGGATGAATGAATGAGCAGGCCAGTGAGTTAGTGCATTAAACAAGTAAATGAATGAACAAAGAAGAAGAAGAAAATGAACTTTTCTCCTCCACATTCCTCTGATTTCACAGGTCGACTGTCATCGTGTTATAATCTCTTCAACCACTACGTCACAGTATCATAGACATGAGTTTTGGAGAACGTGCCAATGATTATTCCACTCAGTCGCCTTAGTTGTTTTGTTTTGTTTTTTTACAAGAAAAATGCTGTTCACTCTTTCTTGATGTGTGAGTGCTGAGGAAGACCTTGTGTTTACATTTGTAGATGTCAGTTTTTGTCAAGTAGTTATTTATGTAATCTGTACCACTTTATGAGAAGGCACCAGTTATAAAGGGTTTATGAGCTGTAATTAATGGCTTTAATAATGGATAATAAATCATTTACCAATACTTTATATACAAGTTATTAGCTATTGATAAGAACAAGTTTTAGGGCTCCAGGTTGTGGAAAATCCTCCAACGGCACATAACTCTACATTTGTACCTTTTCTTTGCACGTAGATCAACAAGTAATAAATTGCAGTTGTAATATTAATAAACAGTTTCTAAGAGGAGTTTGCAGATGTCCAGATGTTCTGCAGATCAGTGGACAAACAGTCCACTGGACAGGTCTCCCTAAAACATGTTCTTATTATTGTCTTCTAACTGATCTGTGGCGCATCAGTAAATTATTTATTAACCATTAACAAAGCCACTGATTACTGCTCATAAACCCTTTATAACTGGTGCCTTATCAGAAAGTGGTCCCATGTAATTTATGTGATTCAAACAGATGTGGTTTGGTGCCAGATGTGCAGAGAGATAGACTGAAAAAGGAAAAGAAACGCCTCACAAAATTTTAAGAAATAAGCTCCAACTCTGAAATTCAAATGTCCATGGTGTGAACTCAGATTAAGTCCTTCTTCCAGAAAAGTGAACTCAACATTTCCAGCTTTTGGTTCAGTGAAGGGGTTCGATAGTTTTGTTCCATAGTTTTGTTCCGTAGTTTTGCACAGATAATGCTATAGTTCAAATTAGTTTCTAAGATAAATTAGCTTAAATTAGCCAACTCCTGAGTGTTGCAGCTCTGGTTAACTACAGGCTTGATTTAGTCCAGGGGTTGGTTCAGGTTATTTACTAGCATAGATGCTGTTTGCATTGAAACTCAAACTATTAACCTGTTCAGTGTTAGTGTTAGTTAATGGTTCAGTTTAACAAACAAACAGTTTGGTTAGGGTTAGCTAACAGCTGAGTGCAACAGGCTTCATTTACCTAATATGCAGTTTAGCAGGTAGAAGAGTTTAGAGCTGCAGCAATTAGTTGATTAATTGATTAGTCAGTTGACAGAAGAATAAGCAGCAACTATTTTGGTTTAATTCATTTTTCAAGTTAAAATAGTGAAAAAGTGCCAAACATGCGGTTCTAGGTTCTCAAGTCATAAATGATCTTAACTGAATCATTTGGCTTTTGACTGTTAATCAAACAAAACTCATTGTTTTAATTTATATTTTATATGATTAATTAAAATAAATTATTTGCAGACAAATCATTAATTAAACTAATTGTTACTTGCAGCCCCAGACAATTTTCATGTTAGCTGTCTCTTGATTGAAGAAGCTAACCAAGTGGGTTCAGGCTAGCTAATGGTTCTGCTTAGCTAAAAAAGGTTGTTTGGTGTTGGCTAGCAGCTTAGTGTAAAAGCTAATGGTTAGACAACATCAGCTAACAGGAGCTAGCCGTAGGTTCAATTTGGCTAATTAATTATTAATTAAGTAACAGTTTATTTTAGCTGAAGTTTCTCTCCAGCAGCTATAAAAGTTAATGTCACCAGAATGTTTGGGTTTCATACAAGAAAAAATGTAATTGTTCTGCACCAACTCCTCACTCCAGTAATGTTTCTAAAATGACATGTACCATGTTAACACTGCATAGTTCAGTAGCCCTGTGTACGATCCGTTAAATGATCACGTTACTAACTTTTCCATGATTCCTTGTTTTCTGATGACCTGGTGTTTTTCATCATCGTCAGGGAGAACTAGTTACAGGAGAAAAAGGACATTTTGGATTCAGCATCACCTTCTTTGTTTACATCTGTTGTTGTTTCTCCTTTCTTGATTTTCCTGTATGTTTTCCTGTTTCCGCATTTGTATTTTTAGCGTTGTGTTTATTTCTTAAAATTTCATGAGAGCTGGTTGAGGATGATAAATACAGAGGCTCTAGGGTGACTGTTTGAGATGATACACAACAATTAATAATCTCACACCGAACCAGCCACTATCTGTGGGTTTGATATGGACAATATGTTTGTTTGTTTTTTTGTAAATTATGTGATTAAACCTTGGATTTTTTTGACACTTGACATCACAAGTGTGTTAATCAGTGGTTGTGGATGTTTTAAAGCTGAAATGAAATGGATGTAAGATTTGTGTGGTCAGGAGAAGGGAAACAAAGAGTTTCTGGTAGGAATAATAATCCGCAGACTGGGGCTGGGACACAGCTCTGGAAGATAACACCTGTCCTACTACATATCCTCACGTGCACTTTAAACCCTAATAAACTGATAGTGGATCATGAGTTCCTCCTCTGACATTCCACTCCACTGTTAATAAGTAATGACTTTTATTCCTCAGATGATAAGATGACTGATGTTCCAAGGAATTGTGGATAAAGAATTTTAAAGTCACTTTTCTCTGTTGGGCCACCAACATTGGTCACATTAAAACCAATAGGAACAGAACAAAAATGAAACTTAAAAATTTCCAAATGGTTATATTATTATATATATTACATGCTCAAACTGGCTTCTTGTGTGTTGTCTTAAAAAATATAAGGGATATATGACATTATATGAAATAGAAGTAATATACTGTAAGAACATCTTTTTTTGAGATTGAAATATGAAGTTGCTTTTGTCCATGAGAAATCCTGTTAGGTCCAAACTGAAATAACAACAGCTATAACGGTGATCAAGTGCAGTATTGGTTAGATCAGTGGTCCTCACTATTTAGTGGCTTACAGTGCAGTGTAGTGTATACATGTATATAATCTTTTTAATCACCCCAAATTATCCTACACCAGCCCATTAATCATTTAGTCGTCAATATCACTGTTGTGGTGCCAAAGTGGCAGCTTGTTTGGATAGGATTTGTGTATAATGAGCCACATCCCAGCAAACATGAAGCTGGCCTGTGTTTGGTCCAAACACAGTCACGTGACACACTGTTGAAAATTGGGACAGAAAATAATGTAAATGTGTGTTTGGTGCTTTGTCTAAAACGCTGTCAGTCTCAATCAGTTTAATACAAAAAACAACATTTTTATAAAACCACACTTGGGTTATGCCCCTGACCTAAACCACATTCTTCTGGATCAGCTAGGCTTGAGCCTTCGAGTGCCTGGCTTTGGACAAATGAATGTTAAAGTGCTTGAAACAGGAAAAGGGTGCATCAGTCTATATTGTTTTTTAAGTAATTTTGACTTCCCAGTCTATAACTTCAGCATTTGTAATGTGATGCTAAAGATGGTGCTAGCTTTATGAGCTGGCTAACAGACCAAGCATCAACCTCTGAGGTTGAAACATGAAGTCAGCAATGAAGAACCAGAAGCTGCAGTTCCTCTAACGACCACTAGAGTCTGGCTCCAACAGTGAGTCAGTCCCCATAGACTCCCATGTTAAAATGTCCAACTTTACAGCAGAAATAAACATGTTTACAGCCTGGTACAGAAACTGTTTTGGTCTCTAGAGCTAATTTCCTCCTTCATGACACCTGTGTATAGAACTCACCTGTTTACATTTTATTAAGGACTAAAGTTATGGAGGATTGAGGGCGTGGCCTCTTTGAGTGACAGATGGGCGAGTGTATGTTTGACACAAGCCAACATGAACCGAAGTCTTGGCTCCACACACGCTCTTCCTCTTTGACCATATTTGGATTAGCTGGGAGTTAAGGGCGGAGTCAAGTACTGGCACGATGATGACAGCGGAGCAGCTCACTCCGAGCTTCAGAAACCTGAGGCTGATGTCACAAAGGCCATGTCCATCTTTACTTACAGTCTGTGACTGATACTGGTGAGCTGTTCCAGAGACAGACTGGGTTGGATGAAAACAGAAGTGTATGAGGTGAAATAAATAAGTCGGACAGAAGGAACAGAACAACCCTCAGACACTGCCTTTTAAATGTGGCTGGATTGTTCTGTAAGTGTTTGAAGAGGAAACTGCCGCTGTGTATACTTTTATTTTGACAGCAGTGAACGGAAGTGCCGGTCTCGTTGTGGCAGGCTTGACGCCGCTGTCGGTGACTGTCGGTTGTTGTTCTGATCAAGATGGCTGCTGTTGTCGGGGATGGAGAGTGAGCACAGGCTGTCACCCGAACACAGGCCGAGTAAACGCAGATAAACCCGCCGAGCTTCCGGCACCGACACTCGGCTGGACCTGATCCCGGACCACCCATACCGAATCTGATTCTTCTGTGGAGGTAAAACGGTTCTCCTCATTTCTTTGTGACCGCCAGCATCCTTCTCCTGTCATCGATTCATATTTGATTGACACTTGTCACGACGTCGAATCGCTAATTAGAAAAAAAAGAAGTAACGGTCGATGTTTGATTTCTGTAGATTTACTGGCGGTAAAACGGTGAGTTTGTTTTCAGTCGGTGAACGTTAACGTCTGTGTCGGTGCTGCTTCATGTCTGTTGGCTGAACGACCGTCGGTGAATCAGGGAGTCGTGAAGGTTATTCAGGTTACTGCAGTGATATAACGCTACGGATAAAACAACGATGTCATATAACGCGTTAATTAGAGGTAATAACAGACAGGGCGGAGCCTCATCTGCCATAAAGACCAATGATTAGACCGTTAAATAAAACCCAGCTGTAAATAACCGTTACACTGCTGTAGAGACCATGTCTGTACTGTTCAAAATAAAACATCCATTCAGTCAGTATCCAAGGTGATGCCTTCAAGTGTCTACTTTTATCCGACCGACATAATATATAAAAAATCAATCAATCATTTATTACCATACATGATAAAAACAAGCATTAAATCTCTGTATTTGAGAAGCTGGAAAAAAAGAAATGTTTGGTATCATTGTTTAGAAAATGATGATTATCAAAACAGTTGCCGATTGACGTTCTGTCGATCGATTAATCAGTTCATTGACTATTCATGGCTGTTTGTATTTAACCAGCTGACAGGCTGAGAATCTAAATCGTCATCATGTCTGTTTATTATTGAATAATAAAAATAACTGAAGAATTTGTGTTATGTTGAAATAGTCTGCAGTGTGCCTGTAGTTATCAATCCAAAGTATTGATTCATTGACAGGTAAATGATTCTAATCACTGCATAGATATTATCAATCATTAGAACTCTGACCCTAAGGAAGAGAACAGGTGTAGGGAAGGGAAGGATGGATTAATAGATGGATTAATGGATGGATGAACAGATGGATGGATGGATGGATGGATGGATAATTGGATGAGTGGATAGATGGATGGATGAACGGATGGATGAATGGATGGACAGATGGATGAATGGATGGACGGATGGATGGATGGATGGATGGATGAATGGATGGACAGATGGATGAATGGATGGACGGATGGATGGATGGATGGATGGATGGATGGATGGACAGATGGATGGGTGAATGAATGGACGGATGGATGAACGGATGGGTGGATAGATGGATGGATGA